CAAATGGCATGTGTGAGAGACGCAACAGGACTATTGAACAAGCCCTTAGAGCATATTGTCCTCAAGATCAGTCCAACTGGGCAGACCTCATTCCATGTGTAATGATGGCAATGCGAAGCACACCATGTGCCTCCACAGGGTACACACCATTTTACCTCATCTTTGGCAGAGAGATGCATCTCCCCATTGACACTGCCCTTCTACCCAAACCAACTCTTGGCAAAACTGCAGAAAGTCATCTTAAATGTCTTCTTGAGAATCTAAAGATAGCAAAAGCAATTGCCAAAGATAACATGGAAATTTCTCAGGATGTCAACAAAGAACGCACGGACCTCAAAGCAAAAGAACCATCATATGCTGTAGGTGATCTTGTATTATTGCAGAATTCACATGTTCTCCCAGGCCAGTCCCCAAAACTTGCAGTGAAATGGTTAGGTCCCTACACTATCCTAGAATTAGGTCCAAATCACACATACAAAAGTCAAAACACAGAAACGAACAAACCACACAAAGCCTTCATCCATGCAAACAGATTGAAACCTCACATTGCCCGCACACATCCCAACAATAGACTCCCAGATCATGTCTAAAACCCGAGATGTCAAACTCCAGTTCCAAGCAATGATGTTGACACACATCCTGACACACAGATGGTCCAGTCACAGCCATATATCTCTGATCAAGGCAGTACACCATCTACATCTCAGTCAGATACCGGCTTCTCACAGCAGCCAGACACCACATCTCAAGATGACCAAACATATACTGTTGACAAGATTTTCGAATGCAAAGTTGTCAACGGCACCAAACACTCAAATGGTTAGGTAACGCCAAAACCACTTGGGAACCATCCCGCAATCTCAGTCAGGACCTAATCCAACACTTCCATAGATCTAGAACCATGTCCGGTAAAAGGCGCAAAAATGGGCGAAAATACTTTAAATAATACACCAAGGTTTCATCAGCTCCCACCTATCTTTGAGAAGTTTCTAACTGTTGCCTTAGATGTTGAATGACCACCCCTTCTTACAGTTACGTCGTTTCTGTATCTCATAGTGCTAGGTTGTTCAGATGTTGCTGGCCAGAACATCATGCTCAACCAGGTCATCTCATCTAATGGTCCCATGTTCTCTTTCGTTTCTCTAAGGTTCATCATGGAGTCTGATTATCCTGTGGCTACTCTCGTTTAGCGCCCCTTCTGTCCTCGCTTCCGGTCCAGTTCAACGTCTTAACTATGGGGTTTTGTTTCAACCGTCATCTCAAATCAATTTTGCCACAAAATTCACACATACGAGATGAAGCTTCCACATGTACCAGGCATCCCAACCATGAGTGGATGTCTTCACAGTAACAGAACCTGTGTCCTACTTCACCAAATTCAAATGCATCTAAATGTAATTAAAACTAGATGCGTTGCCCAGCTAAATGAAACTAGACAGCAAATTATTAAGCTAATTCCAGCATCAAAGATACCTTCATCATCGAGATCAAAACACGCTATTCTTAGTTTTGTCGGGTCTCTCTCTAAAACATTGTTTGGTACTGCTACTACCAGTGATGTTAACCTTCTCGCCAAACATATTAATGCTCTCACAAGACATGATATCAACCTTGCAAACACCATCCAACAACACTCTGCCCATCTCTCCTCGTTTATGAAGCTTGTCGACTCTAGATTTAAGAATGCACTTAAAGGTGTCAAAGCTAATCATGATGCAATTACATTTACATCTATTGCTATGGAAAACAATGTCAAAACAATCCAGTCTACATTTACTGCTCTTACAGGCCTATTGATTGATCAAATCAAACATGCTTCCATTATAGAACACCAGTTGGAAGAACTAAAGTTAGGAATCTTAGACTTAGCTAAAAATAAGTTATCACCATTGCTGGTAGCACCAGAAATTTTAGAACAAACAATTCATCACCTGTCCAAATTCGCCTTCAGTTCATAAGTTGTCGGTTAACCATTTAAGACCTGTTGGTACATACTAGCGATAAGAAATTGCATAACAACATCTGGCACTTCAGATTTACGCCGCCACAATCAGGTCGGTGGGCAAGACTTTAATACATGTTGAATAACAACTGGTAGTGGTCAGCGCGTTCGGCACTTACCAGTGTACCGTTATCAGCTATTTAGCGGCAACTGACCAAACTAGAAAATTGAAAACGCGAAACCAAACACGAGCTGAGTGGTTCTATCTGCATTTATAATCTTCTATTACTCAACTTTCCAAACTGACCGTCTGCTTTGGCTATTAACAGACCAAACCCATCATATAAACTTGTATAACCTGTCCAGTCTTTATTAGTCCAAAGTCTCAAATTTCAAACTGGACATGCACGTGTAGATTTGCCTTCAGATTAACAAAGGAGGTCTCAGGTATAAATATAGGGGGAAATCGACTGTTAGTCATTCCTGCTTTGCCTGAGAACCTCTCTCTGTTTGTCTTTGAAGTTAAGTCACTTTTACTTGTTACTTTGGCATTTAGGTTGAACTTTGCTTAAAATTGTCTTTTAAATTTGTCTTTAATTTTGTATGAATATCTTGCTTGAACAATGAACTTATACTCTATGTATTCGAAATCCCGAGCGAATCTAAGCTGCATATTATTCAAGTTTTACTGACACAAATTAACTACAGTAATTTATATGCGTGCGTCGCATGTAGAAATATTACTATTCCACAATCAGCGTTCGTATCCCACATGTTTATTTATCGGGTTAAAACTACTAGGCAAATACATTTGTAATTATTAATCACAGGTGTCGTGGATGCTTCATAATTATCATGTTTTAATGGGAATAGCGTGCATTATAATAATGTATGAATTATTTGTTGATGTATCGGTAGGACCACTATTCATATGTGTGTCGTGTTATTTACCTTATTGTATGCTGTATCGTTAGTAGAGTGGTTTTATAATGCAACAACGTTAAATGCGTCAATATGCATTAACATGATCCAGTTACTCGATATAATTTACGTTATGTATATTTGTTTGTGTTCTTATGCCTGATAAATACGGTTCACGAATATAACTTATATCCGATGTTCATGCATCAAATATATTCTTTATATACAAAACCAGATCAGTGCAAGTACAGCAAAGTATATTATTCTTATCTGTAGCCCAAAATATATTTCTTATTAGGTAACTACTTTGTGAGGGCATGGCACTAGACCACAATACTCGAACGTAACTTTTGTTCTAGATAAATGCACGCAATTTAAGCAATGCCTGATAAATTTATGTTTTCCAATTTATGCATATTATTTTCATTCGGTAAGATGAATGGACGCTGTATAGAATATCTCAGATACTATACTTTTAGCATAATTTGGACGCTACAGATAACGTAGTAGTTTTATGTTGTAGAATAGTTATAATGAAACAGGCTTTCCTATAGCAGTGTTTATATCCATTTCTAAATTACAGTTCACAAGCAATTCTCTGTTTGGCGAAATCTCCAATAAGGTTCATAAACATTCACAATAGAATATACGTTCACTAATAATCAGTTTTAATTCATATATATTTCAAGTTTCAAATACGGTATTCATTCATGTGTGATTTGTATAAGCTCGGCCTGCATAGCGCGGCATGCACAGGCGGCATTGTTATATAACGGCACACTCACCAGCGCCCGGCAGTGACGTCACGTACCGTATTGAATCATGTTTGCGCATAGCTGTTATCTGAGTTTAGTATAGTGTATTCAGTCATTGAATGCAGGTCCCAGTATTATTTACCGTATTAAATCTTGTATTCGCTATTATCTCTGAAGTGTACACCTGAATCAGCTATAGTTCATGACGTCACATGTACCGTATTTAATGTAAAATAAGTTATCAGACATGTCTTTGTTCAAGAAAGGTGTTGTTATAATCTTTCATATGAATGCTTTTTGTAAACATTGTTCAGATGTTATTTATGAGCACCTTAAATATATAGACCAAACATCATGAGTAGTTATCAATGAGTAATTTAATGTGAATTGATTACAATGTCTGCATTATATCAAATGTTCACTGCTATGATATAAATGAATATCCAATGAGTTGAGCTTACACTTTACACTTTGTTATTATTTTACAAATGGTATTTTAATTATAAATGTGTTACGTAATCTCATGCAATGTTATATTAGGCTGTAACTTGAATAGGTGCTGATACGTCTCTGAAGTTAATGCATTGTTCTCAAAGTGAGATCACATTGTTTATTAACTCATGCCTATTATATAACAAAGAATATCTTAACAGTTTTGGTATCACTGCTTAATTATTTGTCTGATTATGTCTTTGTTCTGACCATGTCTATATGCTTGATGATGATGAAAACATTTAATAAAGATTCCTGCTTTGCCTGAGAACCTCTCTCTGTTTGTCTTTGAAGGTGTGTTGATCCCGTGGCTAATTCCCCGAAAGAATTCTAGGTTTTGATCAGTTTTAGTGTAAAAACTAACTCTGTTTCATTTGCAACAACCTTTTTATGACTTATATATTATTTTTATTCGTATTTTACCTTTAAACCATAAAATATAAAACACCATGTTACATCAAATAATTGTAAAATAGATATGTACAAAGAAACCAAATTAGGTTTTAGAATACCATGAAAATGCTACTTCCACAGAGACAATGAAATTAAACAACAGTTCTTTTAATTTTCAATCACATTAAAACCAACTCGTATATTTTCCTTTGCACCTCAGTTTATATATCGCAACACGGGAAAACGAATGGCTATGATTTGGCAGGATAACCAACAAATACTGCAAGAAATAGCGTATTTACATTAACAACACTATTTCAAAAATAGTTTGCTTGTTCGTGTAGTGATAGGTTTAAGTTTGAATAGCCCTTTCATTTCGCACGTTAGCAACAGTCCGCAGTTTATTCACAGCTATTTTGATTCTAGATCGGTTGACGGCCAATTGCTTGTTATGCAAATTTTATACAGCATGCCGTGAATCGTGACTTGAAGCGATATCTGCCGGCGAGACGAGACTGCTCGCTGTGTGAGCGGTAGCGTCAGTCCCCAGTTGGTTATCTCTGGGTACAGATACCAAGGTCACTGCAGATTGTTTACACTGGCAATCATTGTATAGTTTGGTTGTACATGTATTTGGCGGTTGGTGTGCACCGACAGAACATGTAAACATATGCCGCTATATGCCGTAATATGCCCAGTCCTCCGGATACGCTCACCTTTAGCAAACACCCGTAAGTATCCCTATTTCCTAGCTATGTATGAGCAGAGGTTACATTGCTTTCATGTCCTGTCGTATATGCCCAGTCCCATATATCCTGCTTTGTATACCGTGTCATATATGAACTGTCGTATATATTGTATCCTATATGTCCTGTCAAATATACGCTGTATAATGTCCTGCCGTATATCCCTGCCCTATATGTCCTGTCATATATACCCTGTATAATATCCTGCCGTATATCCCAGCTCTATATGTCCTGTCATATATACCCTGTATAATATCCTGCCGTATATCCCTGCCCTATATCTCCTGTCATATATACCCTGTATAATATCCTGCCGTATATCCCTGCCCTATATCTCCTGTCATATATACGCTGTATAATGTCCTGCCGTATATCCCTGCCCTATGTATTCAGTCATATATACCCTGTATAATCTCCTGCCGTATATCCCTGCCCTATATGTCCTGTCATATATACCCTGTATAATGTCCTGCCGTATATCCCTGCCCTATATGGTCTGCCATATATACCCTGTATAATATCCTGCCGTATATCCCTGCCCTACATCTCCTGTCATATATATCCTGTATAATGTCCTGCCGTATATCCCTGCCCTATATGTCCTGTCATATATACCCTGTCTAATATCCTGCCGCATATCCCTGCCATATATGTCCTGTCATATATACCCTGTATAATGTCCTGCCGTATATTCCTGCCCTAAGCTAAAAATCGTTTCATATTTTCATTGATTGTAACGGAAGTTCGCCTTGACATTCATTTGAATATCTCAGATAACATTGATCGAAATTCACCATTAACGTCAGTACATTCTCGTATTATATAACATTATGCAGAGGCAGCAGATGACTGCGTTTGTGCATGCATGGATGCATTTAAATAGTCAGTGTGTGAGTAGGGTAAAAAGCCTTTTTGAACAGTGTTCCAGTAAAATGACAGCGTGTCAGCTTAATGTGGAAGGAAAGCCCGAAGTGCTGCAGGTCTCAGATGTTTACCACTTTGGTGAAACCAATGAGCACGGGAATGGTGCTGACAAACCTAGAAACATAGATTCCTATCGTGCCCAAGGGACGTAACTCTGCATATGTATGTTCAGTAGTGAGTGAGTTGGGTTAAACGCCGCTTTTAACAGTATTCCAGTTATATCACGGCGTGTCAGCTTAATGTGGGCATACAGCACAATGGCGCCATTGGATCAAAAGTAACTACAGAATTAGTATTTATATAATCAAATTCAGAGCATAATAATTATATGAACGTTATATGTGTTATAATCAAAATTAAGGGATTATCCTGACCCGTGACGATATGGGTAAGAATTGGTCTTCAGCAACCCATGCGAGTGTTATAGTCGAAACCATTTCAATATTTTTATCTATAATTGTGCAAACCATTTCAATACTTTTATTTAACATTTCATTTATCTAAATACCTAACTGGTTCAATATGTTTCCAAGTGCACCGAAATTCTATGCCCTTTGTCTGTTTAATATATTCAGCAAACATTCGGCGTATCCCCTCTTATCATAAGCCCCTCCGGGCAGGACCCTTTATCTCCAGCGCTATCTATAAATTTCAATTAACACCTCCTAACGTCGCCGGATCTTACGTATATACATACACGTGGGACAATGACCTTGCCACACGTTACGTAATTCCTCGCTCTACAAAACGCGACTGACATGGTCAGTCAGGGAGAGAGACAGCCAGAAGGCAGAGACCATATAATAGATATATGGTCTCTGCAGAAGGTAAGTGACAGAACGGTGCTCCCACCCGGGAACATTGGCCACTAGGTCCCGGTGTGCGTTCTGTCACGTTATTATCAACATGTACCTTTTCGACTCATTTCAACCATCAACAATAAATATGGCTGCTGTCGTCTAAACTTCACCCCTGAGTTTTGTCTTCCGTCATCACCCTGAGCTACCATCCGAGGGCCGAAATCTACCCTTGGACACGAGTATACTTGCCGTAAGAGGCGACTAACGGGATAGGGTGGTCAATCTCGCTTACTTGGGTGATGCATGCCATTGTATACCAATTGCGTACATCGATGCTTATGATGTGAATCACTGACTGTTTGATTCTGACTCGATTATTTACAGAGATATAGGTGGAGTAAACAATAACGCTGAGTGAGGCGTTAAACAACAAACAAACACATAAACAATCAAACAAACTAACACGGCATAATTTTGGTATGAAATGTCCTTTATCAGAAAGGAATCGGCACATATACCCGCATGGCACCTACCCACTTACTTACTTCAATAGTGATAAGTGTGAAATAACGCGACAAAACCCCTCGACCTTACGATTCCAACTTTATCATGGGTAGGTGTTTATAAAACACTATTAAATAGTAATGATACAAGGTGATCGCGAAAAAGTGAGTGTATCCTGCCTCAACGGTGGCACCCGGCACAAACACACGCAAAGGCATGTCTCTGAGTGGTGCTTATGAATAAGTGAGGGGAGAGTGGGAGATCATCCTGCTTCTACCTACCAGGGCCCCGTTCCTCAAAGCGATCTTAGCGCTAAGGTGATCGTAAGTCCCATACTTTAACATAGGCTTACGGTCATCTTAGCGCTAAGATCGCTTTGAGGAACGGGGCCCTGCTCTTATTCAGAGGACGTGCATTCTGTAACAGATAGTATTTTGCATTTGCCACAATCATTGCTGTTGCGTATGAGGCGATACGTCACGCGGGATGGGATCTATAATAAATTTAATTTCTTCATGCGTTGGTTATCGGATAACCAATTGCAAACTGACTTGTTTGATAGGCATTGGCGGAATAAGGCATAAGGATTTATGCCGAAGCATCGACTTTACAGGAGATAAAGAAGTTGTTGTCAATAAATTGTCCCTGCTTTACTGGTTACATTATAACATGTAAGTAGTCCGAGGAGGAAACACGTGTTACAACTTGTCATTTGCATCTGTTTATCTCTTGATTAACAGGTCGCACACGCTCTCCGGCTGCCAAGTTATACTCATTTATTGGAAGGATACGAGGCGCCATGTCGGCCGTGAGTATACACGTTTGTCCTCGCTATTGTTAGATGTTGGACCTGTCGGAGAGTCCGTGACATATAAATGTAGAATCATTGTCTGTAGCGTGAATCCTCGCATGTGTTAGATTGTGGACTTGTCAGAGGGTCCGTGGCATGTATAGAGATATAAGATATGTCTGTACTCGTGCGCTCTCGCCTGTGTTAGTGGGCGTCTCAGAGAATCTGTATCATATAAATGTATGATAGAAATATGTCTGAACACGCACGTAATACCATGTCCTCGCTTATGTTGCATAGGTGATCTGTTAGCGTATCTGTGGTATTTGAACATATAGGTGATCTGTTCGAGTATCTGTGGTATTTGAACATATAGGTGATCTGTTCGAGTATCTGTGGTATTTGAACATATAGGTGATCTGTTAGAGTATCTGTGGTATTTGAACATATAGGTGATCTGTTAGAGTATCTGTGGTATTTGAACATATAGGTGATCTGTTAGAGTATCTGTGGTATCTGAACATATAGGTGATCTGTTAGAGTATATGTGGTATTTGAACATATAGGTGATCTGTTAGGGTATATGTGGTATTTGAACATATAGGTGATCTGTTAGAGTTTATGTGGTTTTTGAACATATAGGTGATCTGTTAGAGTATATGTGGTATTTGAACATACATGTGATCTGTTAGAGTATATATGGTATTTGAACATATAGATGATATGTTAGAGTAACTGTGGTATTTGAACATATAGGTGACCTGTTAGAGTATATGTGGTATTTGAACATATAGGTGATCTGTTAGAGTATCTGTGGTATTTGAACATATAGGTGATCTGGTAGAGCATTTGTGGTATTTGAAGATATAGGTGATCTGTTAGAGTAAATGTGGTATCTGAATATATAGGTGATCTGTTAGAGTATACGTGGTATTTGAACATATTGGTGATCTGGTAGAGTATATGTGGTATTTGAACATATAGGTGATCTGTAAGAGTATCTCTGGTATTTGAACATATAGGTGATCTGTTCGAGTATGTGTGGTATTTCAACATATATGTGATCTGTAAGAGTATATGTGGTATTTGAACATATAGGTGATCTGGTAGAGTATATGTGGTATTTGAACATATATGTGATCTGGTAGAGTATATGTGGTATTTGAACATATAAGTGATCTGGTAGAGTATGTGTGGTATTTGAACATATAAGTGATCTGTTAGAGTAAATGTGGTATTTAAACATACAGGTGATCTGTTAGAGTATCTGTGGTATTTGAACATACAGGTGATCTGGTAGAGTATCTGTGGTATTTGAACATATTTTGGAGAATGGGACATAAGTAGTATCTGTGGTATCTGAACATATTTTGGAGAATGGGACATTAGTACCTAAATATTTAGATTTGTACTTTAGTGTTTAGGCGACAGTTGGATTGAGATGGTAGCGTGTGTAGTGTATTGGTTGTGTATGTGTATGTGTGGATGGTTCCTATCTATTATATGAATGACAATAAGGCTATTTCTTTATTCACGTGGGCAGTCAGCATGTTATATTTGTAACAATATATATAATCATCATGGATCTTTCTGAAACAATTTGCATAATAAATATACATAGCCAGGTGTCGAATTTCATTCGTTGATGCCCAAATCCTACTTTATTTGTTACGTGAAGGGTGTGATGTGCATTCAGTAGGCATGTCCTCACACAGCGTTTTCTACCATTAAAAAGTTACATAGTGCGAAATTCCACATCGCTGACGGACATGCTCAATGCGCATCACAGCTTAACATATATCACAGAGAGGGGATGGTACGATAGTACAAATATTCACATATAGCGGACATATAGAGGGGGCAGACAGTAACCAGGGCTTGTATGGACAAATTTATATCAGGCATTCGACTTGTAATGTGTTTGTGGGTCGCTATGACCACAAATTTCACAAAAGCCTCAGGGCAACGGATTCTATTCCTATATGATTCAGTTGAGTTGATATTGAGGACTGATTTAAAGACAGTGATACTAAGTGCATTTTGGGGTTCCATAATTAGGAACCTGCACGGACGAAGGATCGAGCACCGAAGGACTTCAGTCTGTATTTTGGTACAGACCGCAGCGTTGTCCTTGTTACTAATGCAGACATAAAAGTGTAACAAAACCGAGCTTGGTCAGCTTTATTTTGCAGGATTAAGCATCGGTGTTCTTCTGTCATGTTTAAAGGAATATGCAAGTGTATGGATACATTTTGGTTGCAGAGGGTGCCTTATTCTTCGTCACTGTCGTCACTGTCAGGTATTGAAGGGAAGATTAGGCCAATAAATACTTAACTATAGCCTGTTACAAAATATATATAAGCTTAATGAGGAAAGATAAAACACAAAACTAACACACGAAATAATCCGTCTACAAAAATATGGCGTTGTATAAGAGCATTAAATTATTATTTTTAGTTAACCGCAATTCTCTCGGTCTGTGATGGAACACAACATCTATCCACTCGCCTTGAGTGATTACGTTATACGATTTCTAAGAAAGGGGCACTGGGCTTCTCGCGTTACACCGAAGGTCCGGGTTCGATTCCCAACATGAGTATAATATTTTTGGTATCACCTGCTAATATAATGCTGGTAAAAGGGTCGTTAAAGCCATATTCATCCACTCACTCATTCAGCTCAGTGTACCCTTTCCCGACTTACTATGAATAGTGTTTTGATCCCTTGTGTTGATTTTGGTGACGTAGCAAATATAAGTTCGAAGGTAGCTGCCCAGGATATGATGAAACTTTCACAGCTGATATTGAGATCTTGTAAAATGCATATTCCTAAAGTGTGATATAATTTTGGAATATGTCTAAAAGAAATGTGAAAGACAACTAACTCACTCACTCACTCACTCTAAAGATAAAATCACAAAAATCAATTATGTGCTCATAAATATATACACCCATATTAAAGGCGATTCACGTTATAAGGTATTATAAGGCATTCATGTGTGCGTATTGACATATGCATTGTAGCTGCAGTAAATTTATTAACACTTATATTCTTTTCTGAAAAACTAGCGCATAGAAAATACTTAATGGAATTCAGTTCATAATATTCAAAGTTTGTGCAGGTTTCATATGTAGTGGAGGCTATATTGTTATGCATGTGTGACTTTCGATTTGCTGACTGGAATTTGAATATACAGGTTTTAACAGCTTCGACATAGCCGTGTAAATATACTCCCCCAGAATGTAGGGGATATTCGAAAATATCAGATAATTACAGAGGGGTATCGAGTGATGTTTATTGGTGAATAAGAAAAAGGACTGGGTGTAACATGAACATCAACAGAACACGTTTGTGATGTAAAGTGTGCAAACAACCAAGAAAGACGACAGGGGGTGTTTTCAAAATATGAGGTGAGGTGAAATGGGGTTTAACATCGCGTCCAAGATTATTGCACTAATATAGCGACGTGCATGCACGTGCGTGCGTGCGTGCGTGCGTGTGTGTGTGTGTGCACGGTGGGCACGAGCAATGCGTGGTGCAGTACGTGGTACAATACGCGGTACACTACGTGGTGCAATACGCGGTACAACTATAATTTAGTAAACTACGGTTATAACGAACACGCTTATAACGAACTGACTGATATAACGAACTTATTTTTCAGTCCCGGCCATTTGTTGTATATATGCTGTATATATGCTTATAACGAACTACGGTTATAACGAACTAAAATAAGTGGTCCATTTGAGTTCGTTATAACCGTAGTTTACTGTACTGTTAAAAGCGGCGTTAAACCGAACTCACTCTCCCTCATTCACTTCAGCAACCCATGCTTACCGTAAAAGGCGACAATGCTTGTAGTAAGAGACGACTAACGGGATCGGATGCTTGATGCATGTCATCGTAGCCCAATTGCAAGGATCGATGCACACGATGGCAATCAGGGGTTTGTCTGGTCCAGACTCGATTATTTACAGGCCGCCGCCATATAGCTGGAATATTGCTGAGCGCGGCAAACAAACCTGTCGTATACGGGCCAAGAGAAGAGGATCGGGGGGTCAGACTCGGCTGCTCGACTGACTGCGTTTCATCGTACCCCGACGGCGTGGGATGGTGTTTCAAACATCAACGTCTTGGCAAGATTCAATTATTCACAGGTCTCCGTACAAATATGGATGATTGCTGACATTAATTTGTGAGAGGTTCGAGACTGAGATAGTTGTATTCAGCTCGAATTGCTTTGTGATTGAATATGTAGCATGGGCGAAACTGAGATATGAATTATTTTTTTAAATTTGAAGTTTACACGATATACGGCTTTTCCATTGGACGAGAAGCTGGTCACATGACGACACAATTTGACGTTCAGCGCGAGGCGTCACTCCAGGCCGGGACGACTTTCGAATACATTCCTGGGAAAACCCTTCATGGAAATTTCTTTTCCTTCCGTGTATTCTATTTATATCTTGCTCACGTCATGTAAACATTATTCTGTGTAATTTAATTACAAAACTGTTTTTCTTAACCATCGGTAAGAAAAGTGTTCTGTCGTGTTTGAAATATAAACATAATACATGGATAAATTTGTTTTGTTTTGTGTTATCGTCTGCTAGACGTCATGGCACCAAAGTTTGACTACGGTTCATTCGACGTACACTGGATCGATAGTGATGATCTCGATACCATATTATTGTCAATGGGTCAAGAAAATGAGACCACATCTGCAGTCCCCATTACGCAAGTTAAAGAAGAACCCGTGGACGACACGCCCACTGAGAGTGATGGGAGATTCCCCCAAATTAGTGAAGAAACACTGTATGACATTGAGGTATAAAGGCATTCAGCATCCACAATAAAACAAAACATATAACTTCTTAAGATAAAATCACATCAGATAAAAAAGATGTAATGACCATGTAGTGTATTTGTAAGACTGTACATCATGCTCAGGTACATGTACGACCCGCACCTAACTCGGGAGGAACATCAAGCAACAAGACGTCTGAATGAACGATGATTTATTCATAACTGAACTTGCTACACTGTATTAGTGCACGATTTCACCGCCAAACTGCTTTACAGTTTCACCAATGTTTGTTAAAAAAATGTTCTTTAAGTTTTGTTGACTGCAGTTTATGAATTAAACTTTCTTAAAGACAAAAATAGTGTTCTGTTTATTTATTGAATCTATTTTAATGGAACTACTTTTGAAAGGTGGATGGATATGTAAACAGGAAGTCGCTAGATGTCGGCCGTGTCCTCGTATGAACGTAAAACAATGTTGATAGATTGTTGCAATAAGGGGTATGTGTACCGTAACACTTTAAAATAAAAATTATAAGAACTGACCTTCACTTTGAGTGAGCTCCGACGTTCATACAGTTTGGCCCTCACTCTATGAAGGTTCATACTTCAATAAACTCACACAAAGTGAAGGTCAATTCTTAAATAATTTCTAGGTGTTGGGATTCAATACCTATGCCTATACCCCATTCAGCTGTTGCTTTCTTACGTTTGCAAACATGCTGTACTCCATCGGTAGTATTTTATTACCGAATGCAGTAGACGCAAAAGCCTGATCAGTATGTATTGTTTTGAGATGGAATACATAGAAAGAAATGATCCACTAAACCAGTATCGTTTTTATGATTAAATACATACACATTGTATATGCTGTACTTTACTTATGTTGTTTATGATTGAAACATATGAGACCTTGCCCTACTGATATTGTTTATGACTGAAACATAAGAGGCCTGTGGTCTACTGATATTGTTTATGACTGAAACATAAGAGACCTGTGGTCTACTGATATTGTTTATGACTGAAACATAAGAGGCCTGTGGTCTACTGATCTTGTTTATGACTGAAACATAAGAGACCTGTGCCCTACTGATATTGTTTATGACTGAAAAATAAGAGACCTGTGGTCTACTGATATTGTTTATGATTGAAACATATGAGACCTGTACCCTACTGATATTGTTTATGACTGAAACATAAGAGACCTGTGCCCTACTGATATTGTTTATGACTGAAACATAAGAGACCTGTGGCCTACTGATATTGTTTATGACTGAAACATAAGAGACCTGTGGTCTACTGATATTGTTTATGACTGAAACATAAGAGACCTGAGCACTGCTGATATTGTTTATGCCTGAAACATAAGAGACCTGTGCCCTACTCTACCAACCGCATCCCTGGTCTAGAGGATAAAGCGTCTGTCCTGAGAAACAGAGGATCAGTGGTTCGATTCCCTGGCCGTACCACATAAAAAAGGTTAAAAATTTGTTGCTTCCCTGCATTAAGGCCATAAAACAAGGACTGATCAGCATTAACCACACACACACACACACACACACACACACACACACACACACACACACACACACACACGTGAATGCACGTCGTTACATGAGTGAAGGAGGCTTGAAATGTAATGTTAAACCCATTTCATCCTCAATTCACCTCCAATCTACAAAAACATTTTTGTAGCTTGAATACAGAACAGACATGTTGTCTATTTTGCCCTCTACACTTAATGGAATCTGTTTCGGCAGAAAATTGAGACTAATTATTATTCTCTGGCGTTGACGTTTCTACCGGTATCGCTTCAGGAGAATCACCATGGTGAAATTGTCAATGTGGCCCTGTTTGGCCTGGGCCGTATTGGTCGGGTACATCTACGGAGCCTGGTGGACCAAGAGGATGTCTGTATCCTCTACCTCGTGGACGTCATGCCGTCACAGGGGGAACTGCGTCAGCTGGTCAGGAAGCATCGTTTAGCGGACACAACAGTGTTAAGCACAGAGGAGGCAGACATCGTCTTCGATGACCCCCGGTAAGATTATTCCTCATTGCTTCTTGTGAAATATGAGTGAATGTTGTTTTATACCAGTCAGCAATATCATTGCTATATCACGGCGGTTTGTGAATAATCGAAGCTGGACCGGGGAAACTAGTGGTTGATAGGATGAGCAGAGATTCACGCAGAAGATTGGGAAATACATCACCCAGGAAACTGGTCTATGACCACGTAGACGTTTATGCATATACTGTGTGCACATACTTGTAAGAAATATTCTTTATGTGATACAGGAAAGGTATTAACATTGTTCACAAAAAACATTTACCTTTATCTAAACTGTCGGGCAAAAGAAAGTATACACCCATGTTTGATAGCGGCCTAGAGTGAAACGCACAAGAAATGGTTACTCGATGGTGATGTATTCGATAAGGGCACAACAGTTGTGCTCTTGGCCCCGTTCCACAAAGCGATCGTAACTACAATCAATCTTAGAGACTTACGTCGATTTTAAAATTGTCTTAGCTAAAGTTTACAATCGTTCCACAAAGCGATCTTAGGGCGATTGTAACTTTACAAGTTCTTAAGTAGCCGATCTTAACAAAGATCGGAATCTTCAGCCATGAAGATACAAAAGTTTCCCTTAGAGTGGCCTCCCTTGATCATGTTTAGCAGACGACGCATTTCCTTGCACATCATAATAAAAGTCGCCATCTTTGTTGTTATGGTACAATATTTAAGATCGATTTTAGCGATCCTAAGTTGGTCCGGAGCAACTTAGCATTTTCATCTTAACTTACAACTCTCTTAGTTAAGTTTGCTTTGTGGAACGGGCGGCTGATCGTAACAAAAAATTAAGATCGCATACTTAGTGTGTTCAAATCAACTTAGCCTAAGATCGCTTTGTGGAACGGGTCCCTGGACCTTAAGTTTGCGGTGTTTCGGCGAGTGCTTTCAGCCTTGTAACGTTTTGATAACATTTTCAATTTTGTTTATCAAATCCAATTTTCAAGTGTATACCCGGCAGTATATATATATGTGAGTCCCGATGACTCAGAGTAGGACATTGTATGAGTCCCAGACATTGCAAAGGGAGTCCCAGCGAGTCCATTATACTAACCAGAAATCAGTATGGTATCAATGGTATCATGTGATAGGTGAGCTGGCTTAAAGTCTGATGTATTTCATGTCAAACAAGGCGTTGGCCAGGGTCGAGTCATATCTGCATGACTGTTTACGCTCTATATTTTTGGTTGGTTGGTTTGTTGTTTAACGCCGCACTCAGCAATATTCCAGCTATATGACGGCGGTCTGTAAATAATCGAGTCTGGACCAGACAATCCAGTGATTAATATCATGAGCATCGATCCTTGCAATTGGGATCGATGACATGCATCAACCAAGTCAGCGAGCCTGACCACCCGATCCCGTTAGTCGCCTTTTACGACAAGCAGAGTCACCTTTTACGGCAAGCATGGGTTGCTGAAGACCTATTCTACCCCGGATCTTCACGGGTCCATTTACAAGTACGGCGGTGCTTAATACGTATTATATGTGGAGATTTCCTTGTTTGAGTCTGAAAATAGTACTTGAGTGAAAACATTTGACATAGTCTGTCTAAACATGAACAGTATATGCCATCGGAACATAAAGATAACAGAGACCTTAAGTACATGCTTGGATTTCATCATTCCGACTCCATACTCCACAGCATCCGCTGGGACTCGCAGGGTCTAATATTTCTGTCCATTTTGTTAATTTTTATACGTACAGGATACAATTCTTTGCGTCCGGTAAAACCCTGGTACGGATTGTTTACATTTCATGTAAAAAACGAATTTGTTTTTGTCTCTCAGAATACATGCTGTATTTATATGTTCGCCGTCTGCATTTCACGAAGAAACAACGAAAAAGGCTCTCCAAGCAGGTATGTGTTCATCAAACGGGTTAAATGCAGCTTTCCTTAATATTTATGCCATGTTGCGGAGGAGTAGTGTGGTAGCCTAGTGATTAAGGCGTTCGCTTCCTCACATAGGCACAATGTGTGAAGCGCATTTCTGGTGTCGCCAGCAGTGGTATTGCTGGAATATGTTAAAAAGCGCCATAAAAAAACAACTCAGACATGAGGTCTGATCTTTTATCCCAACAAGTACCGGTCACATAAAAAAATACATTATATCGCGATCATGCTTAAAATCTGCATCTGTCAGCAATTTAAATGTGTAAATATATTCGGATAATGAAGCACCGTGAGTGTCCTGTTGCGCTGCAGGGAAGCACGTGTTCTGCGAGAAGCCGCTTGCACTGACCAACCGCGGTGTTCGGTCATGCTATGATATTGCTGAGAAGAGCGGCAAGAGGCTCCTATGTGCCTTCAACAGGTGAGTCGTTAGCGCGACAGAGAGGAGTGAGTGAGTGAGTGAGTGAGTTGGGTTTAACGCCGCTTTTAACAGTTTTCCAGTCATATCACGGCGTGTCAGCTTAATGTGGGAGGAAAGCCCGAAGTGATGCAGGTCTCAGATGTGTACCACTTCTGTGAAACCCACGAGCACGGGTATGGTGCTGACAAACCTAGAAACATAATCGGGGCGAACCGGGATTCGAACCCACAATCCCGGCGCCTTGGACGACTGGGCTACCCGTGCCCCCTCGACAGAGAGGAAGAGACAGGGGAAGAAAGAGAGGGAGTTAGAGGAAGAGGGAGAGAAAGGGGAACATAGTGAGGAAGAGAGGGAGAAAAAGAGACGGGAAGAGAGAGAGAGAAGGAGAGAGAGGGAGGAATAGAGGGCTCGAGAGGAAGAGAGAAAAGGAGATAGAGAAAGATGAAGAGAGAGGGAATGAGAGAAAGAGAGGTGAAGAATGAGAGATAGAGAGACAGGGAAAGAAAGAGAGGAAGAGTGAGAGAGAGGAAGAGAAACAGGGAGAGAGGAAGAGAGAGAGGAGAGAGGATAAGAGGTATGCAGGCACCCTAACTAAAAACTCCTTTCATCAATGTTTTTGTCACTTTCACATCGTTCCTCCATAGAGGTAAATAGACGTATATAGACGATGCTAAACAGACATGTCTATCAACTGATCCTGACCATGACGCTGACCGTATCTTTCTCGTAAGGCGGTTTGACCCGGACCTCACCCGCATCTACAAGATGAAGGAAGGTGGTGAGCTGGGCCGTCTCCGCAGCGTCAATATATACAGCCTGGACAAACATGTCCCGCTCAGCTACGTCAAAACATCAGGTACGTATTACATGTCACTGTGCATGTACCAGTTAGCCACGTCGTTTATTTGTTTGTTGTTTAACGCCACACTCAGCAATATTACAGCATTAACCATCGAATCTGGACTAGATAATCCTGTGACTGACATGAGCAGCGATCTACACAATAGGGATACGATGGCATGCTTCAACCAAGTCAGCGAGCCTGACCACCCGATCCCGTTAGTCTCCTCTGGCGACAGGTCTTCTACTGCAAGCATGGGTTGCTGAAGATAAATTCTACCCCGGATCTTCAAGGGTAGTCAGCCTATTCAAAGTCATCATATCACTATCAATACATATAAGATCATGTATCTTATGCATTAAAGAATACACCACACACTGGTATATTATAGAAAGTCACTGTTTCGGATATTCACTCGGGGTACAGACTAAAACCCTTGTGGATAAAACCCCAAACGGACATCTCCTCAGTGAGAGCAACACCGTGTTCATTGAGAGTTGTAGTGGATTTTGACTGTGACGTACACGTCTGCAAATGACGTCCCAGACGTGTTCAATGGGGAAAAGTCAGTACTGGCCATGGCATGACATGGATGTTTTGCTGTTGGAGAAATTGGGTCACAACACCGGCACGATGAGCACGTGCATTATCATCTTTAAGATGAAACGTTGTACAAATGGCTACACGAGTGGTGCAAGGATGTTGTCCAGTTGATACAATAAGTAATTAATATAGAGCGTAAACGACCCGTGAAGATCGAGGGTAGAATAGGTCTTCAGCAACCCATGCTTGCTGTAAAAGGCGACTTTGCTTGTCATAAGAGGCGACTAACGGGATCGGGTGGTCAGGTTCGCTGACTTGGTTGATGCATGTCATCGATCCCAATTGCAAGGATCGATGCTCATGATATTAATCACTGGATTGTCTGGTCCAAACTCGATTATTTACAGACCGCCGTCATATAGCTGGAATATTGCTGAGTGCGGCGTTAAACAACAAACCAACCAACCAAAAATATAGAGCGTAAAGAGTCATACAGATATGACTCGACCCTGGCCAACGCCTTGTTTGACATGAAATACATCAGACTTTAAGCCAGCTCACCTATCACATGATACCATTGAGTTGTATGATAAACGCAGAACTCTCCATAGTGTTCCAGTAATTTCAAATTTATACAAAATGTAAAAGAGACAGTCAAGCTATACCCGGTAGAATGATTTCTCATTATCGAGGAAAGCGAAGTATACGGGTAAGTCTCTCTCGTTATAGTAGGCAAAATATTTCATTACGGTAAGGACTGCTATCGGAGCGCCAGCGCCTTTTCTTAATCCACACTGAAAAGCACAGGGAAATGTGACATTGTCATTAGTCCACTTTTCTATTCTTTCACGTGGACATATTTCAATAAGTTACTTAAGACGGGAGTTAGTTACACCCCAGCGGATGAAGGGTCACATTTACATTTTCCATGACCTTTGTATACAGGGGGGATTTGACAGACATTATATATCTTTGGAATATATTCGTTTGTAATAACAGTGTTAAATAACAATACCATACTAGTATATTGTATCCATTATCTTCCTGAGTAGTTTTGATACAGGAAAAGTTGTAGGAAAGAGAATCAGTCGGAGGAGAAAAGTTTTCTTCCATACACCGAGTCTTGGTAGTCTCATAGTTTCACTGATAGACTGATAACTTGTATATTATCTTTAAGCTTTCGTTCACATTGTTTGTAGCGCTTTCTAAATATTCGCTTTGCTTGTTTATATTAGAAGATGGCATGTAGAAAGCCTGTGAACGATAACAATTTTGAATGAACACCCTTATCTGCGCTTTCCAAACACTGACAATAGGCCTTCCTGGTAAGCGACTCAAGCGCGTGCGTGTCGAAGGCCGCTACACGAAGGCTGCAGACATGGCAAAACTGGCACAACTCGACTCTGGTGCAGCAGCACCTAGCCATAAGCGTGTCTAAAGAACTGGAAAATGGCATTAGGTGCCCAAGAGACCAGCTCCAGCAGGGAACCGAGAGGCTGATGCAGTGCCTGGTGGAACTGGTCATAAACTTGGAATAGAGAAGGATAGGGAGTTGAGACTTGGATTGTATAAAAAGTATCGCAGAGCCGTGAATGCTCTGAACGGAGTTGACACCGCGCTTGTAGCAGCTGGCATGGGACTCGGTGTAGCAGGTGTTAGTTTATTATCAACTATAATTGCCGCGCCTATCGTGCTCGGCATGGAAATAGCGGCTGGAGTCTCGGGACTGGCAGGAATAACGATAAAATGCATTTCTCGTAGGTGGCAAAAGAAAGCATTAAAACACGATAAGATTCGGATACTCGCCGAAGCAAAGTTGAACAGCATTGAGGATCAAATTTCAACAGCAATGGCTGATTGTAAGATATCCGAGGAGGAGTTTCGTTTAGTGTTGTCAGAACTCACCAAATACAACGTAATGAAGCAGGACATTCGATCAAATTCTCGTAAGACCAGTGGTATTAGCGAAGACGAGAAAAAAAAGTTCATAGAATAGGGGAGGCAACAAGTGCGTCAATTATTCCGTGCCAAAACCAAAGAACTGGTTGGAGATTAAAAATAGATTGCTTACTATCGTTAGATCACATTTAGACAAATGCTTACATAAATATATAATAATGGAGAATTACAACATTTATGTTCATGGACAAAATTATTATATCAGTAATGTCAAACCAACAAATAAAGAACACAAAACATTTATGTTCATAGACAAAATTATCAAATTGAAAGAATTACCACAAGGTATATATTATATCAGTAAACCAAACAAATACGATCATCAATTACCAAGAAGAGTATATAATCTGGCCTACTTGTAAAATAATAGAGAAATTTATATCAGGTGGTGGTGAGCTAGAGTCAATTTAACTTAATCTCATGACTATCGTTGAATCGCATAATCATTTTGGCATAAAAAATGCCACCTGTAGTGGCAGTATAGGTATATAAATCCGGCTCCAGTGGAAGTGAGCCAGAACCCCTATTACCTATACTACTGAGAGAGACAACACTGTTGTAGGTCACTGAGGTGAGGTGAGGTGAAATTGGGTTTTACGTCGCGTCCAAGATTATTGCACTTATATAGCGACGTGCATGCACGTGTATGTGTGTGTGTGGCTGCTTGTACTAGTCCGGACTGATGCCGATTTATAGTGCTAGCTCACTGAGATACCATGCCGCAGTTTAACATGAATACCCCACTCAGACACAGTATACTGACTCCGAGCCGACCAGTCCTTGTTTTAGCCCCTTAATGTCGAGCGCCAGACAGGGTAACAACAAGTACCATCTTTTAAGGGTAGGTCACTGAATATCCATAATATTAAACATAATGTAATAAAATATACAGCTGGATAGTGATGAATTAGTATACACGGTGACAGTAATGTTGTATGTCACTGTATATCAATATTCAAGATCATGTAATGAAACGTAGTGGTGAATACTCACATGGCATTCAATAATGGTGTACCTCACTGTTTGCCCCTTCTACACGAAGCCCAGCCTGCGAATGGGACTTCTCCCAGCAAGCGCTGCCGAACCAACCCTGAACTCATCGGAGAATGTGAAGACTCCCCAACACTGCAGCCTTCTGCATTTCCCAGATTGTCAGAAGGGCTGTATTCCTGGTAGCAGACTCGGATACTCTCCCAGTGTCAGTCAACGGATTGGGAGGTACCAAACCTAAGGCACCGAGAACAATGGGGAGTCGGACAACTTGGTACTTCGAAAGCGACATCCGCATATTTGCCATGTTTTTCCTCAATCTTGTCAATCACATTAGTGTCAAAAGGGACAGATAATTCAATGATGTGAATGATTTCATTGAATTTATCAAAAAGGACAAGATCAGGTTTGTTGGCCTGGTTACGTATGAGGCTGTATATGGGCCTATACCAAAGAATTGTGTATTTATCATTTTCCATGACGCCCTCTACAGATTCCGGGTCGTAGCGTGGGTGGACCTCTGTGTCAAAACCACAAGCATGGCGAAGACGGTAATAAAATGATCGAGCCACTTCATCATGTCGCTTAAGATACTGTGTTTGTGCCAATTTTGTTTTATTACTATTACATAAAACCGCAAGTGTCCAGGTACTAGCATCTGCTCAAATGCGGTTTTATTTGTTCCCCGACCAGTGGACCCCAGCTCTCATTCTCAACTCCCTGGGGAGTATACAACCTACGGGCGGTAGAAGGTTTTACATCCACCTCACATGTCGGGTACCCATTCCCTGCTGGTTGAACAGAGGCACTTGTCCAGGGTGACACCAAACGTTTTTTCTCTTGTGTTTCGGGTGTATGTACGTATTCGTCTCTCCCCAATCTGGTCATCGACCATTGGACGAGTGGGTTCCTTTGTGAGCATAATCCTATGTGTGCATCCCCGTGCACGTTACCATTCAACTTACAATAAGCTTGAATACGACATAGTTCATGAGTTGTTCAACATACTGACGAGCACACTCAAGTAGCTATTTATGTACACGGTTGGCCGCCTTCGTGGCCTAGAGGTAGAGCGTCCGCCCGGAGAACGGAAGTTACGGGGTTCGATCCCCGGCCGCGTCATTCCAAAAGACGTTAAAAGATGGTACTTGGTGTTACCCTGTCTGGCGCTCGGCATTAAGGGGCTAAAACAAGGCCTTGTCGGCTCGGAGTCAGTATGCTGTGTCTGAGTGGGGTATTCATGTTAAACTGCGGCATGGTATCTCAGTGGGCTAGCACTATTAATCGGCATCAGTCCGGACTAGTACAAGCAGCCACACACACACACATGTGCATGCACGTCGCTATATAAGTGCAATGATCTTGGACGCGACGTTAAACCCCATTTCACCTCACCTCACCTCACCTCACATACACGGTTATTCAAAACACAGTCGAGTACGAACACATTGAGAACAACAAAACATGCACATTTATTCAAACTACGAACGAGCATGAACATAACCAAGACCCATTGCGCTTACAACTTTCAACGTTCACTATTTTGAATATCTAAATGGTACAAAAGTAAATAGTACATGCGCAGTGATTTATACCATTCATTGTATTCTGCAATATTGGTGAGGATTTTACACACATGTATTACAATGACGATCGGCAACACACTCTATGTGATATACACTACATACAGTATAGTTAATGTGTGTGAGAGATTCTCAAGGTAATATTTAAACCACATAAACTGATGAGTCAAAGTATAACGAGTTTGAACATTGAAAGAACTGTTGTTAAATTTAATTTAACCATCACTCATACCCGCAACTATTTGTAAAAAGTAATCTCCGCGAACTCGGCAATGTTCTTACTGGAGAGTTCAGCGACTGACGATCTCTAGCCCATTTTTATATTGTGTTGTTCACTGATACTTATGGCTTTAATATATTTCTCAACTAGTTTTAAATCGAATCTGTGATATTCTAGTTCTTGTACTGTCCGTCGTTGACAGCTTTTTACTTAGTCTAAATCTATGTAATACTATTATTAATGTACTTCTCGTCACGATATGGCTGTAATACTGCCGATGTGACGTTAAATCTTAACTCACTCACTCACTCTTACTGGAGAGTGGAATAATCTCCCCTTGGCGATCATCCAGACTCTCATTGGGAGCATTCGACGACGGTGCCACGCTGTGATCGCATCAGGTGGATCACGTATGCGCAACTGAGAGTTGTTTTTTTTACAATGATTTTCTTAATTTCGTGATTGTTGACGTTTCAGTTTTGGTCAGATACTCTCATTTTAACGGGTGATGTGACTGACTCTTGGCCACGCGTTGTTTGTTTGCATTATGTTGCACATGACAACGTGGTACATGACAACGAAGTCCTTAGCACACTTTGAGTAGTATAGTTAAAAGGAACTAAAATGAAATCAAAATGGCAGTTTGTGAACAGTTTCGATATATTCTATTTGCACAAAGTGGGTATATTTGTGAATAGTTACCACATATTCTATTTGCACAAAGTGGGTACATTTGTGAATAGTTACCACATATTCTATTTGCGCATGGGGGTATATTTGTGAATAGTTACTACATATTCTATTTGCACATAGGGGGTATATTTGTGAATAGTTACCACATATTCTATTTGCACAAAGTGGGTATATTTGTGAATAGTTACCACATATTCTATTTGCGCATGGGGGTATATTTGTGAATAGTTACGACATATTCTATTTGCACAAAGTTGGTATATTTGTGAATAGTTACCACATATTCTATTTGCACATAGGGGGTAATTTGTGAACAGTTACCACATCTTCTATTTGCACAAAGTGGGTATATTTGTGAATAGTTACGACATATTCTATTTGCACATAGGGGGTAATTTGTGAATAGTTACCACATATTCTATTCGCACAACGGGGGTTATTTGTGAACAGTTACCACATATTCTATTTGCACATAGGGGGTAATTTGTGAACAGTTACTACATATTCTATTTGCACATAGGGGGTAATTTGGGAATAGTTACGACATATTCTATTTGCACAAAGTGGGTATATTTGTGAATAGTTACCACATATTCTATTTGCACAAAGTGGGTATATTTTTGAATAGTTACTACATATTCTATTTGCACAAAGTGGGTATATTTGTGAATAGTTACTACATATTCTATTTGCGCAAAGTGGGTATATTTGTGAATAGTTACTACACATTCTATTTGCACATAGGGGTATATTTGTGAATAGTTACGACATATTCTATTTGCACAAAGTGGGTATATTTGTGAATAGTTACTACATATTCTATTTGCACAAAGTGGGTATATTTGTGAATAGTTACTAGACAATCTATTTGCACATAGGGGTATATTTGTGAATAGTTACTACATATTCTATTTGCACAAAGTGGCTATATTTGTGAATAGGTACTACATATTCTATTTGCACAAAGTGGGTATATTTGTGAATAGTTACTACATATTCTATTTGCACAAAGTGGGTATATTTGTGAATAGTTACTACATATTCTATTTGCACAAAGTGGGTATATTTGTGAATAGTTACTACATATTCTATTTACACAAAGTGGGTATATTTGTGAATAGTTACTACACATTCTGTTTGCACAAAGTGGGTATATTTGTGAATAGTTACGACATATTCTATTTGTTCACATGAGGTCTATTTGCGAACAGTTATGATATGTTCTGTTTGTACACAGGGGGTATTTTGGTGGACAGTGTTATCCACATGCTGGACTATGTGTGTTGGTTTGTTGGGGAGCGTCCGCAGACCGTGTATGTATGTGGCAGCAACACCTCGGCGTACGCTGAGGACTACCAGGCGTGTGACGACCACGACATCGCAAACATCGTACTCACCTTCCCGAGCGGGGTGTTAGCTAACCTGACGGCGGGTAGGGAAGTCCCTTATGGATACGATCAACACTTCCAGGTGCAGTAAATACAAGGTTATAGGAACATTAAATAACAGGTTCCAATAAAGCTACTACCAGGTTCTGGGTAAGGCTCATACCAGGTTCTGGGTACATTAAATAACAAGTTCCAATAAAGCTACTACCAGGTTCTGGGTAAGGTTCATACCAGGTTCTGGGTACAGTTAATACAAGGTTCTGTGTGCAGTAAATACCAGGCTCCGGGTAAAGTAAATACCGGGTTCTGGGTACATTAAATAACAGGTTCCAATAAAGCTACTACCAGGTTCTGGGTAAGGCTCATACCAGGTTCTGGGTACATTAAATAACAGGTTCCAATAAAGCTACTACCAGGTTCTGGGTAAGGCTCATACCAGGTTCTGGGTACATTAAATAACAGGTTCCAATAAAGCTACTACCAGGTTCTGGGTGCAGTTAATACCAGGTTCTTTGTGCAGTAAATACCAGGTTCTGGGTAAAGGTAAATACCAGGTTTTGGGTAGGGTTCATACCAGGTTTTGGGTACAGTTAATACCAGGTTCTTTGTGCAGTAAATACCAGGTTCTGGGCAAGGTTCACACCAGGTTCTGGGTAAGGTTCATTCCAGGTTCCGGGTAAAGTAAATACCAGGTTCTGGGTAAGGTTAATACCAGGCTCCGGGTAAAGGCTAATACCAGGTTCTGGGTAAGGTTTGTACAAGCATCTAGGTAAAGGTTAATACCAGGTTCTGGGTTCAGTTAATACAAGGTTCTGTGTGCAGTAAATACCAGGCTCCGGGTAAAGTAAATACCAGGTTCTGGGTAAGGTTAATACCAGGTTCCTTGTAAAGTAAACACCAGGTTCTGGTAAGGTTAATACCAGTTTCTGGGTGCAGTAAATATCAGGTTCTGGGTAAGGTTGATTCCAGGTTCTGGGTGCAGTAAATATCAGGTTCTGGGTAAGGTTCATTCCAGGTTCTGGGTAAAGTAAATACCAGGTTCAGGGTGAAGTAAATACCAGGTTCTGCGTAAAGGTTCATTCCAGGTTCTGCGTAAAGGTTCATACCCAGGTTCTGCATAAAGGTTAATACCAGGTTTTGGGTGCAGTAAATATAAGGTACTGGGTAAGGTTCATAACAGGTTCTGAGTAAGGTTTGTACAAGCATCTAGGTAAAGGTTAATACCAGGTTCTGGGTACAGTTAATACAAGGTTCTGTGTGCAGTAAATACCAAGCTCCGGGTAAAGTAAATACCAGGTTCTTCGTAAGGTTAATACCAGGCTCCGGGTAAAGTAAATACCAGGTTCTGGGTAAGGTTTTTCCAAGCATCTAGGTAAAGGTTAATACCAGATTCTGTGTACAGTTAATACAAGGTTCTGGGTAAGGTTAATACCAGGTTCTGCGGGCAGTAAATATCAGGTTCTGGGTAAGGTTCAAACCAGGTTCTGGGTAAAGTAAATACCAGGCTCTGGGTAAAGTAAATACCAGGCTCTGGGTAAAGTAAATACCAAGTTCTGCGTAAAGGTTCATTCCAGGTTCTGTGTAAAGGTTAATACCGGGTTTTGGGTGCAGTAAATACCAGGTACTGGGTAAGGTTAATACCAGGTTCTGGGTGCAGTAAATATCAGGTTCTGGGTAAGGTTAATACCAGGTTCTGGGTACAGTTAATACAAGGTTCTGTGTGCAGTAAATACCAGGCTCCGGGTAAAGTAAATACCAGGTTCTGGGTACATTAAATAACAGGTTCCAATAAAGCTACTACCAGGTTCTGGGTAAGGCTCATACCAGGTTCTGGGTACATTAAATAACAGGTTCCAATAAAGCTACTACCAGGTTCTGGGTAAGGCTCATACCAGGTTCTGGGTACATTAAATAACAGGTTCCAATAAAGCTACTACCAGGTTCTGGGTGCAGTTAATACCAGGTTCTTTGTGCAGTAAATACCAGGTTCTGGGTAAAGGTTAATACCAGGTTTTGGGTAGGGTTCATACCAGGTTTTGGGTACAGTGAATACCAGGTTCTTTGTGCAGTAAATACCAGGTTCTGGGCAAGGTTCACACCAGGTTCTGGGTAAGTTCATTCCAGGTTCTGCGTAAAGGTTCATTGCAGGTTCTGCGTAAAGGTTAATACCAGGTTCTGGGTACAGTTAATACAAGGTTCTGTGTGCAGTAAATACCAGGCTCCGGGTAAAGTAAATACCAGGTTCTGGGTAAGGTTAATACCAGGCTCCGGGTAAAGTAAATACCAGGTTCTGGGTAAGGTTTTTCCAAGCATCTAGGTAAAGGTTAATACCAGGTTCTGGGTACAGTTAATACAAGGTTCTGGGTAAGGTTAATACCAGGTTCTGCGAGCAGTAAATGTCAGGTTCTGGGTAAGGTTCACACCAGGTTCTGGGTACAGTTAATACCAGGTTCTGGGTAAAGGTTAATACCAGGTTCTGGGTAGGGTTCATACCAGGTTTTGGGTACAGTTAATACCAGGTTCTTTGTGCAGTCAATACCAGGTTCTGGGCAAGGTTCACACCAGGTTCTGGGTAAGGTTCATTCCAGGTTCCGGGTAAAGTAAATACCAGGTTCTGGGTAAGGTTAATACCAGGCTCCGGGTAAAGGCTAATACCAGGTTCTGGGTAAGGTTTGTACAAGCATCTAGGCAAAGGTTAATACCAGGTTCTGGGTTCAGTTAATACAAGGTTCTGTGTGCAGTAAATACCAGGCTCCGGGTAAAGTAAATACCAGGTTCTGGGTAAGGTTAATACTAGGTTCCGGGTAAAGTAAACACCAGGTTCTGGTAAGGTTTATACCAGGTTCTGGGTGCAGTAAATATCAGGTTCTGGGTAAGGTTCATTCCAGGTTCTGGGTGCAGTAAATATCAGGTTCTGGGTAAGGTTCATTCCAGGTTCTGGGTAAAGTAAATACCAGGTTCAAGGTGAAGGAATATACCAGGTTCTGCGTAAAGGTTCATTCCAGGTTCTGCGTAAAGGTTCATTCCAGGTTCTGCGTAAAGGTTAATACCAGGTTCTGGGTACAGTTAATACAAGGTTCTGTGTGCAGTAAATACCAGGCTCCGGGTAAAGTAAATACCAGGTTCTGGGTAAGGTTAATACCAGGCTCCGGGTAAAGTAAATACCAGGTTCTGGGTAAGGTTTTTCCAAGCATCTAGGTAAAGGTTAATACCAGGTTCTGGGTACAGTTAATACAAGGTTCTGGGTAAGGTTAATACCAGGTTCTGCGAGCAGTAAATGCCAGGTTCTGGGTAAGGTTCACACCAGGTTCTGGGTACAGTTAATACCAGGTTCTGGGTAAAGGTTAATACCAGGTTCTGGGTAGGGTTCATACAAGGTTTTGGGTACAGTTAATACCAGGTTCTTTGTGCAGTAAATACTAGGTTCTGGGCAAGGTTCACACCAGGTTCTGGGTAAGGTTCATTCCAGGTTCCGGGTAAAGTAAATACCAGGTTCTGGGTAAGGTTAATACCAGGCTCCGGGTAAAGGCTAATACCAGGTTCTGGGTAAGGTCTGTACAAGCATCTAGGCAAAGGTTAATACCAGGTTCTGGGTTCAGTTAATACAAGGTTCTGTGTGCAGTAAATACCAGGCTCCGGGTAAAGTAAATACCAGGTTCTGGGTAAGGTTAATACTAGGTTCCGGGTAAAGTAAACACCAGGTTCTGGGTAAGGTTAATACCAGGTTCTGGGTGCAGTAAATATCAGGTTCTGGGTAAGGTTGATTCCAGGTTCTGGGTGCAGTAAATATCAGGTTCTGGGTAAGGTTGATTCCAGGTTCTGGGTAAAGTAAATACCAGGTTCAGGGTGAAGTAAATACCAGGTTCTGCGTAAAGGTTCATTCCAGGTTCTGCGTAAAGGTTCATTCCAGGTTCTGCATAAAGGTTAATACCAGGTTTTGGGTGCAGTAAATACAAGGTACTGGGTAAGGTTCATAACAGGTTCTGAGTAAGGTTTGTACAAGCATCTAGGTAAAGGTTAATACCAGGTTCTGGGTACAGTTAATACAAGGTTCTGTGTGCAGTAAATACCAGGCTCCGGGTAAAGTAAATACCAGGTTATGGGTAAGGTTAATAACAGGCTCCGGGTAAAGTAAATACCAGGTTCTGGGTAAGGTTTTTCAAAGCATCTAGGTAAAGGTTAATACCAGGTTCTGGGTACAGTTAATACAAGGTTCTGGGTAAGGTTAATACCAGGTTCTGCGGGCAGTAAATATCAGGTTCTTGGTAAGGTTCACATCAGGTTCTGGGTAAAGTAAATACCAGGCTCTCGGTAAAGTAAATACCAGGCTCTGGGTAAAGTAAATACCAAGTTCTGCGTAAAGGTTCATTCCAGGTTCTGTGTAAAGGTTAATACCAGGTTTTGGGTGCAGTAAATACCAGGTACTGGGTAAGGTTAATACCAGGTTCTGGGTGCAGTAAATATCAGGTTCTGGGTAAGGTTAATACCAGGTTCCGGGTAAAGTAAACACCAGGTTCTGTGTGAAGGTTAATACCAGGTTTTGGGTGCAGTAAATACCAGGTACTGGGTAAGGTTCATTCCAGGTTCTGGGTAAAGTAAATACCAGGTTCAGGGTAAGGTTAATACCAGGTTCTTGGTGAAGTAAATACCAAGGTCTGGGTAAGGTTCATACCAGGTTCTGGGTAAAGGTTAATACCAGGTTTTGGGTGCAGTAAATACCAGGTTTTGGCTAAGGTTCATTCCAGGTTCTGGGTGCAGTAAATACCATGTTCTGGGTGCAGTAAATACCAGGTTCTCAGTGCACTAAATACAAGGTTCTGGGTACGGTTAATACCAGGTTCTGGGTGGGGGTCATACCAGGTTCTGGGTGCAGTAAATACCAGGTTCTCAGTGCAGTAAATACCAGGTTCTGGGTACGGTTAATACCAGGTTCTTGGTAGGGGTCATACCAGGTTCTGGGCGCAGTTAATACCAGATTCTGGGTGCACTAAATACCAAGTTCTCGGTAAGCTTCATACCAGGTTTTGGGTGCAGTAAATACCAGGTTCTGGGTAGGGTTCATACCAGGTTCTGGGTAGGGTTCATACCAGGTTCTGAGTAGTAAATACCACGTTCTGGGTGCAGTAAATACCAGGTTCTGGGTTAAGTAAATACCAGGTTCCGGTTGAGTTTATACCAGATTGCGGGTTAAGTAAATACCTTGTTCTGGGTACAGTCAATTCCAGGTTCCGGGTATCATTGTGTGATGAATCTGAAGCAAAATGATTGTTCTTAGTATTTACTGTCACAAACTTTTAACAGAATCCCAATCCCCCTTCCAAGAATATGAATTGATAGGGACCTTAAAGAAAAGTTCCTAAAACAGTGGACCTATTGAACAGTTAGGGTGAAAATGAGAAAATTGAGAAGTTCAAGTGGGAAATGTTTTTGAGTAGCTGCTATTCGTTCGTACTCAGCAAGATTCCAGTTCTATGACGGCAGTCTGTAAATACTCGAGTCTGGACGAGACAATCCAGTGATTGATGTCATGAGCATCGATCCACGCAATTGGGATACGATGACGAGCATCAAGCACGTCAGCGAGTCTGACCACCCCATCCCGTAGGTCGCCTCTTACGACAAGCATAGTCGCCTTTTACGGCAAGCATGGGTTGCTGAAGACATATTCTACCCCGGATCTTCACGGGTAAGAGAAGCTTCTAGACATGTAAGGAAAGGCTAAGCTGAAAAAGAACACAACTCGTGTTTTGATACAAGGAGAGTGAATATCTGTGTATCTGTGTATGAACAAATCTATTTCTATGTGTGTCTTTGTATCAGGTTCTCGGTTCAAAGAAGATGGCAGTGTCCAAAAACTACAGGAAGTCGGAAGTGGAAGTCTGGGATGCAAATGGCAGTTTGGAAGACGACTTGCTGGAGTCTTTCATTGAGAGGTGGCGCTCCAGCTATACAAGGATTGTACAGCACTTCATCAAGGTTGTTCACGGTGAGTGTTTCGCTGGCCCAGTCGTCTGAAAGTCGCTGTGCAAGACCAAGAGTTCCGTCCCTTAGGCATGCCAGAAACATGATTGTGGGTTCGAATCCTAGTTCGCTCCAATTATGTTTCTAGGTTTGTCAGCACTATACACGAGCTCGTTGGTTTCATCAAAGTGGTAAAAGTCTGAGGCGTGCATCACTTCGGGCTTTTCTCCCACATTAAGCCGACACGCCGTGATATAACTTGAGTACTGTCGGAACCGGCGTTAAAACAAAACTCACTTACTCACTAATGATGTCGATGCTGCAGGGCGAGAGGAGTGCGGAGTGTCGGCGGAGGAGTGCCTTCAGAGCCTGGAGCTTGTGCAGTTGTGCCAGGAGTCATTGAGGTCAGGCAATGTCATCGGTGTACCCCAGCGGAAAGCGTGAAGACACATGTCTGAAATTTTCGTCACATCTCGAAACGAACCGTCTTTCGATGGCCATATCACATCACATGTTAATAAATATGATTGGAAGTCAGCGTGATTTGTTGTCAGTGGCTAATACCCTTTTCCCATATACACGATGATGCTATGGTAGAACACGATTTTTCAATTAATCACTAGAGCAACGGCGGCGTACACATGTTCGTGGTCAATCGCGGTCCACCGTAGCGCACCGTAGGGGAACCAGATGCCGCCGTGAAGGAGCACAATTTTTAGGAATGTTCAAAAACATTTTGCTCTACCGTAGTACCAGAAGGGGGTAATAAGCAACAACGGGGACCTTCTTGTGACGCTCGGGGGAGCAGGATGGTGGGGGGTAATCAGATTGAAAAAGTGAAGATACGTGAAACATTGAAATAAATGTGATAACTGTGAAAATAATCGTGGTCCAGCGCAGCAGCATCGGAAGAGAGTCGTAACGCTGTCGTGGTATGTCGTGACGCCGTCTTGTTCATTCGTATTCATTCGTAGTGGCCACAACACCTACAGCAAGCCAAGACATCGCTACGGTGCTGATACGACGACACTGCGATGGTGGTACGATCAATCACGACTTGATCAAGACGCCACCAAGAACGTATTTTTGCATCCCGTGACTCTTGTTTGATCGTCGGAAAGTTAAATTAACAAGCTGTCGTGCCAAATTTGAAAAAGAAAACATTTGTGCTGGTTTTTACTTCACATTATTTCTGAAGTGTTAGGGCATCAGTTTTTAATTGTTTCTGGATTTAATTATCGTGTGAACCATTTTGACAAGGTGGAGAGGGAAAATTCTTTATTACACAGTATTACCATGGAGCATGTCATGGGTGTTGGGGTCTTCGATGTCTATTATCCGTGCAGCTTGACGTGGGTATCTCACTGCCAGGAGGTTGTGCCTCACACAACAGACCATCACAATGCTTTCCGCTCTATGCATGTGTTGCTGCATGTGTTGCTGCATTGTAGTCAGGGGGCATCTGAACCGGTGAGCCAAAATACCAAATTTGTTTTCAGCCATTCTGTGTGCCCCCGACAGATGGTAGTTTAATATTCTTTCGTCATGCAGCGGGTGGGGTAGAGTTTCATGAGCTACGTTCGACGGTACAAAGCGTCATCTCCTCCTAAAGCGTAGGGCATGGGCTGGTCATCATTTGGGAGTGGTTCATCTTCCGGAAGCGCATCAGTACGTTGTTCCAGAGCCACATATAATCCAGAATCTTTAAAACGGCAGTATCTGAGCATGTTCCATTTGTCCCAACGCCCACAAAGAGGAACCCGTACTCTGCAAGACAAGAGCGAGGAGTACGTTGGTAGAAAACCCCTTAGAGCTGTAATGCAGGGATCCTGCCAAAGGTGGACAGCGGAAGGCAACATGCTTCCCTTCGATGGCTCCTACGGTGTTGTGGAAGTTCCGTCTTTTGGAAAGCTCCTTCCATTACTCCGGGATGCTTGGACACTGCATAACTTCATCGCACATTTCAAGGGAAAGGGGGCCACGGGTGGCCAAGTCGTCTAAGGCGCCGCGATTTGCTGTGCAGAGTTGCGTCCCTTGGGCACGCCAGAAACCTATAATTATGGGTTCGAATCCTGGTTCAACCCGATTATGTTTCTAGGCTTGTCAGTACCCTACCCGTGCTCGTGGGTTTCACCGAAGTGGTAAACGTCTGAGACCTGCATCACTTCGGGCTTTCCTCCCACATCAATCTGACACGCCGCGATATAACTGGAATACTGTTAACAGCGGCGTTAAACCCAACTCACTCACTCATTCCAGGGTAATGGCATGACTGGTTTCAGGGAGGATTTTACTTATTGTGTATTGCGCCACCGAAACCCATACGGGAGGCTTTTATATGAATCCCCCGTTGCCCTGTCGAGCAGACTTATTGCAATCCGAATACCTTGGTCTCGGGACATGCGCCAAAAGGTATCCTTCTTCGGTATATGAGGTTCAACGCGTTCCACCAACTCACTGAAACATTCGGGGCGGTCGGGTAGCCTAGTGGTTAAAGCGTTCGCTCGTCATGCAGAAGACCCGGGTTCGATTCCCGACATTGATACAAGCCCATTTGTGGTGACCCCCGGCGTGATATTGCTGGAATATTGCTAAAAGCGGCGTAAAAACCATACTCACTCACTGAAACGTTCATTGGTCACACGGAGAAAGTCCATGTAAACTTGAATTTTATCGAAAAAAATAAATCATTCCCTAAAATGCTTGAAATAAAACAACTATGTTTCAAACTGATAACAAAAAATGCCTACCACAAAAATGACATTGCTTTATCTTCTTAAAAATCAAGCTGATGGTTTTAAATTTTAAAAAATACATCTGGTTTTGCAGCTGTGGCTGAAAAATAATACCTTATCTCGATACCCATTTCCAGCCAGCACCCAATCCCATAAAGAATATATAAGTAGTTATCAACGTCGGACTCACAACAATGTCGGCATTTATCTCCTGCCCATCCGTCTGTCCTTAAACAATATGCTGGGCACGGGTGGCCCAGGCGTCTAAGGCACCGCAATTCGCAGAAACCTATAATTATGGGTTTGAATCCCGGTTCATCCCGATTATGTTTCTAGGCTTGTCAGCACCCTACCCCTGCTCGTAGGTTTCACCGAAGTGGTAAACGTCCGATACCTGCATCACTTCGAGATTTCCTCCCACATTAAGCTGACATGCCCTGATATAACTGGAATAATCTTAAAAGCGGTGTTAAACCCAACTCACAACAAAGTGGAGGAATAAAACACTTATCCTTTGCTGAGCAAGATATCCTAATTGATATTGGTTCGGGTGCCATATGTGGTGAACAAGAAAAGTTAGGGATCTTATCCTGCAAGCTTCATGATCTCTAACCCTTTTTGTTCCATATAGGCTCCAAGCACTTTGGGCTTACTCCGTTTGACATAAATAAATGCCCGTGCCCCCTCCACTTGGTAACGCATAGAATATAGGAGTTATTGACACAATGCCCGTGCCCCCTCCACTTGGTAACACATGGAATATAGGAGTTATTGACACAATGCCCGTGCCCCCTCCACTTAGTAACACATGGAATATAGGAGTTATTGACACAATGCCCGTGCCCCCTCCACTTAGTAACACATGGAATATAGGAGTTACTGACACAATGCCCGTGCCCCCTCCACTTCGTAACGCATGGGATATAGGAGTTATTGACACAATGCCCCTGCCCCCTCCACTTAGTAACACATGGAATATAGGAGTTATTGACACAATGCCCGTGTCCCCTCCACTTAGTAACACATGAATATAGGAGTTCTAGTGATCCCATGTTCTGTTCAGAGTGCAAGGGCAACTATTATATGCACGAGCTTCACCGACTTGACTGCCGATCATCCATGTAACATAACACAAGACCCGTGAAGATCCGGGCTAGAATAGGTCTTCAGTAACCCATGCTTGCCGTAAAAGGCGACTATGCTTGTTTGGGTGGTCAGCCTCGCTGACTCTGTTAATGCATGTCATCATATCCAAATTGCATGGATCGATGCTCATGATGTCAATCACTGGATTATCTGGACCAGACTGCCATCACATAGCTGAAATATTGCTGAACGCAGTGTTAAACAACAAACAATCTATAACATAAGTCGATGATGGAAGCTGTAAAAATCTTTATTACAACATGATGTGTCTATGACAACAGAAGACAGCAACAGTCTAGATGATTCTACAAGTTAGGGTTTGGCCAATCACAGTCGTTGTAAAATTTACAATGGATGGTTCAAACCTGCCACAACCTCTAAGCATCACATCCTGTCTTGCACGTACCTGTCCGAGAATACAGTGAGCGTGTGCATGCACCCATATCCCCCCCCCCCCCCCAGCATAGAGGGGTCTGGAAGAGCATATCATACTGCAGAGTCAAGGACAGCCCAGCCCGTTGTCCAAAAGGATACAAAATATTATCTGCCATCCAGCAATTAAAGACTTTGCGCTTTCATTTTGTACTCCTATATTTTTTTACCAAAAGAGAAATTATTTTTTTTCAGTCAATATATCCTGGACCAGAGTCCTCTTTTTTTGAGTATTTTAATCAATTTTATCACTGCTCCACACAGCTGAACATGGGAAAGAGGTTGGAAGCATTTACCCTTTAAGACGCGTGTAAGATTGAAGCCAGAAGGAAAACTAGTGTGTTTTTTCTAAAAAAATCACTACAAAGCCAGGTAGATAGATATTGTTTCTATTTATCCATGAGTCACACATATAGTATACATCATTGTTGAAAAAACTTTTAATTCTTAACACTATAAAAAGCAGACAATAAACTCCCATATAATGTGTGAGGCCCACTGACTGCCAGGGTTAGGGTTGTTCAACTGGCTGCTTTCAAAATAGTCTCATACACATCAGCGAATGTTGTTGCTACACCCAGAGAGTTACCTCCCTTCCACTGCAATCCAACTGTGGACTTATAACTCCTTCAGTCCTGGAGGAATGGAATGTATGAATGTTGCATAAAAGTATAGTTTACATAACAAAATAAGACATATTTTGACCTCAGTGAAAGGGAGATAGCTTTTCTTGCATTACACGGTTACAATGACAACCTATCTACAGGTACACTGAGCATTACGCCAGACCAACATGCACGCGAATATACATGGTATCCCACTGCTGTAACACAGGCCACACTCCCCCACCCCATCGAATCTGAGGTAGGTTGCAAGTGTGGGGCTGTTTGTATTCTCTAATTCTATAATAGCACTTGTCTGAGGTGGAGGCCGTACACGATTATACAAAACAATTTCCTTTCAGACAAAATAGTGTATATAAATACAGCATCCTTCTTAAACGTACACATAACACAACAACGAAGTGCAAGTGTGCCCTTTTGAATGTAGTTGAGTATATATTTAGGTTTGGGCGAGGGCTGAGGATGGGTGTGAAGACAGTCTGGGGATGTATGGGGTAGACACACGTAGAAATATAAATTCGCAACTGTCCTAGCACTTAAAATATGTGGTGTTTAGGGAGGGCGTTGCGTGGGGTTAAATAAAAATGTGTTAGTGTTAACTAGGAATGCGTTGGGGTCCGGAGGGACGAACTTCCTAAACAGGAATTGATGATAGAGTTAAGGATGTGTTACTTTTGATATATCATACAGCCAAGTAATATTGTCAGCTGTCTGCAGGCTTGAGTGGTGGGGAGGTCAAGTTAATCTGGACTTGCTGTTGCCTCTTCAGCACTTGCAGCTTCATATTTCCCTACTCTTATTGTTGTATAATCTCAGAAGCTCATCACACTTTCTGTAGCACTCCAGCGAGCAGGCACACAATGGACAGAGTTGTGGTCCCTGTCAGGGAAGTTGCACCATTCAAATCTGAAACACAAAGCACACAATATAAGTACTGACTCCAGAAAGTGTCATTATGTGCAAACATGTACTGACATTTTGAAATATTTGTCAACATGCCTAAAAAATCAAATTAAGTTGTTTTGTGTTTTCAGTCATGAGGTAATCAAACACAACAATGCCGTCATTTGCGTTTGGATCCTTATTTGAAGTGCTTCAAATTGGACAAAAACACATCTTCATGGTGTGTCAGTGTATATGCAACAGTAAGTGCAGATAGACATGAGCCGACTGCATTAAGAAAATCATAGTGAGTGAGTGAGTATGGTTTTACGCCGCTTTTAGCAATATTCCAGCAATATCACGGCGGGGGACACCGCAAATGGACTTCACACATTGTACCCATGTCGGGAATCGAACCCGGGTCTTCGGCGTCACGATCGAAACTTTAACCACTAGGCTACGCAACCGCTCCATGAAAATCATAGAGTTACAATAATTGAATACAATTAAGGAATTTATGACTACTTTGAAACAACTATTCATGTCATTGAATACCATACAAGTCTCAGGACACATTGCACTCTGAATTACAAACTACTGTTCACACGTGTCAAGGCGTTAATTGTACAAATCAGACATTAAGTGACAGAATCACACAACCACTACCTGCAGGACATAACAAGAGAACTGTTAACTTGCCCTGTACATAGGGCCCACACCATGAATTTCTTTGCACCTGCATGATAAGAAACAGGTAAGCAAATCAGCAACCCAAATTATTTCCACCTCGGAAATGTGCAGTTAACACTCGAGTTAATTTAGAGTGAGCGAGTATGGTTTTACGTCGCGTTTAGCAATATTCCAGCAATATGACACCCGGGGACACCTGAAATTGGCTCCACTCATTGTACCCATGTTGGGAATGGAACCCGGGTCTCCGGCGTGACGAGTAAACACTTTAACCACTAGGCTACCTGACTGTCCCTTAGTTAATCAAAATGCTTAAATTCATACATCCTTATCGGTACTGTGTAAACTGGGATAAATTGAAACACCCTGCATCACTGCCATCCATGAAAACACTGGCAGTGCACTCAGGCGTCCTGAGGCCTCCTGTCTATCTGTATCCAGATGGCTGAAATATTGCCAGACTACAGGCCAACATTATTTTACATCTTACATACATAGGAAGCCTGTTATTGAGCTAAGTAGGTGAAATAAATTAACAGGTACGGGTTCGAAATTTGTAGTCAGACTCTTTTTCGTGTAACCATTGTTGAGATAGGAAGATGGAAGAGCAAGTGAAGTGGCAAGGTGAAATCACTGCACTTATATAAGAAAGTGTATGTTGTGAGAGAGGTGACGAAGCATGTGACGCACATAATGGTAATGCCATAAGGATTCATATGAGAGAGAGAGAGAGAGGTGGGGTTTAACCCCGCGTCCAAGATTATTGCACTTATATAGCGACATGCATGCATGTGTATGTGTGGCTGCTTGTACTAGTCCGGACTGATGCCAATTTATAGTGCTAGCTCACTGACTGAGATACCATGCCACAGTTTAACTTGAATACCCCACTCAGACACAGTATACTGACTCCAAGCCGACCAGTCCTTGTTTTATCCCTTTAATGCCAGACAGGGTAACAACAAGTACCATCTTTTAACGGAGAGTGAGGGAGAATGTTGTGACTGCTTGTCTAAGTCCATACTGATGCCAATTTCATAGTGCTAGCCCACTGAGATACCATGTTGCATTTAACATGAATAGCCCACTCAGACAAGTCAACTACGAGCCAACCAGTCCTTGTTTGAGCCCCTTAATGCTGAGCGCCAGGGAGGGTATCAACAACTACAATCATTTCACGTCTTTTGGTATAACATGGCTGTGGATTGAACCCTTGCCCTTCCGTTCTCCCATCAGACCATGGTTGGTTGGTTAGTTTGTTGTTTAACGCCGCACTCAGCAATATTCCAGCTATATGATGGTGGCCAGTAAATAATTGAGTCTGGACCAGACAATCCAGTGATTGATATCATGAGCAGTTAGGATCGATGACATGCATCAACTAAGTCAGCGAGCCTGACCACCCGATCCCGTTAGTCGCCTCTTATGACAAGCATAGTTGCATTTTACGGCAAGCATGTGTTGCTGAAGACCTATTCTATCCCAGCTCTTCAAGACCAGACCGTGGAAATGGTCATATAATATTGGGGGAAGGTAAGGAGATGAGAAAGCCACTTCATGTGGAGTAGGGTCAGCAAGGTAGGTGGCTGTGTGGGTATTGGATTGGATGGAGGCATTTCTTATGGAGTTGGGTGGTGGTGTAGTTGTTGTGCAGGTGTGGTAGCATGAGATAGGTAGATATGGAGGGTAGAACTAGTGTGTATCTGGTTTTGTATGTAGTCCTGGAAATAGATCAAGACTCCTGGATGGAAATAGCATTGCTCTGATGACATGACATAGTTACTAGCATATAAAACACATACATCTATGTGAAAATTGATTGAAAGCGCCAGCTTGCAATTTGATTACATCAAGTTAAAGCTATATGATCAAGCAGGGAGATATTAAAAAAATCTTAACCTTGAGCAGCAGAAACTGAAATGACGAAACAGAATTTTAAATATATTATGATGAATGATGACTAGCTTCTGCCAAGCAATTCAGATGATGCCCTATGGCTGCTGTGGTGTAAACAATATCCTGCATCCCATGCCCACAACCCACGACATGGGTATCTTGCAGCCAACAGCTCTATCTCAAGGTGTGCACCTCTCCTAATGTCATGAACACGGAACCCGTGGCTTCCCTTCTCCCCATAGATGTTAGGGTCAGTTGTTAATGGGAAGTCATGCAAACGCAGACAAAGGAACCTTCATAACATTGTCAAACATGCAAGTGTTAAAAAATCCAAATGTAAAGTGATGTATCATGTACAGCTGCCACTAAATTGCGTAGTTCTCAGAATAACTGAGGCTTGCAGATAAGATGGCTTCTGAACTCTGTCATGCAGACATTGCTTCAAGCAGGGCTTTGCAGTCAATGGGTCTACCCAGGCTCTTAGTCAGTGTGTGTCAATGAGAACTTGCAGTGCATGAACCAGTACCCTGTTCCACAATCTGAACTTAGCGCTACAAATATCATAAACCAAATTTAAAGTATGTGACTTACAATCACCTTAACGATTTGGACACTTAGTGGAACTGGTTCAATGTGTCACCCAGGGCTTGCAGTCAATGTGTCACCCAGCGCTTGCAGCAAATGCTTCAACCAGGGCTTGCATTAAATGCTTCAACCAGGGCTTGCAGTCAATGTGTCACCCAGAGCTTGCAGTAAATGCTTCAACCAGGGCTTGCAGAAAATGCTTCAAGCAGGGCTTGTAGTCAATGCTTCAACCAGGGCTTGCAGTCAATGTGTCACCCAGGGCTTGCAGAAAATGCTTCAACCAGAGCTTGCAGTCAATGTGTCACCCAGGGATTGCAGTCAATGTGTCACCCAGGGCTTGCAGTAAATGCTTCAACCAGGGCTTGCAGTCAATGTGTCACCCAGGGCTTGCAGTCAATGTGTCACCCAGCGCTTGCAGCAAATGCTTCAACCAGGGCTTGCAGTAAATGCTTCAACCAGGGCTTGCAGTCAATGTGTCACCCAGGGCTTGCAGTAAATGCTTCAACCAGGGCTTGCAGAAAATGCTTCAACCAGGGCTTGTAGTCAATGCTTCAACCAGGGCTTGCAGTCAATGTGTCACCCAGGGTTTGCAGAAAATGCTTCAACCAGGGCTTGCAGTCAATGTGTCACCCAGGGCTTGCAGTCAATGTGTCACCAAGGGCTTGCAGTAAATGCTTCAACCAGGGCTTGCAGTCAATGTGTCACCCAGGGCTTGCAGTCAATGTGTCACCCAGCGCTTGCAGCAAATGCTTCAAGCAGGGCTTGCAGTAAATGCTTCAACCAGGGCTTGCAGTCAATGTGTCACCAAGAGCTTGCAGGAAATGCTTCAACCAGGGCTTGCAGCAAATGCTTCAACGAGGGCTTGCAGTCAATGTGTCACCCAGGGCTTGCAGGAAATGCTTCAACCAGGGCTTGCAGTCAATGTGTCAACCAGGGCTTGCAGCAAATGCTTCAACCAGGGCTTGCAGTCAATGCTTCAACCAGGGCTTGCAGTAAATGTGTCAACCAGGGCTTGCAGTCAATGTGTCACCAGGGGTTTGCAGTTAATGCTTCAACCAGGGCTTGCAGTCAATGTGTCACCCAGGGCTTGCAGGAAATGCTTCAACCAGGGCTTGTAGTCAATGCTTCAACTAGGGCTTGTAGTCAATGCTTCAACCAGGGCTTGTTTCTTTATCTTGAACTAAAACATGCTTTGCACAACTAAAACATCAAGTTGCTTGGTTGAAAACTCCTTATGCTATCCCAGACTCACTTACCGAGGAAAACCACCGTCTTGGTTGCTGACTCTAGAGCATCACTGGTCCCTCTCTTCTGTGTGCGACATGTGTATTCCCCGTCAGCAGCAGCAGTAGCTGGAAACAATTCAATCACACAATTTTACAAGATCTCAAAATCCGGTATTAAACAGACTTTGACAAAGACTTGTGACTTTCTACTGGCCCGAACATGGTTTTTCTTCTTATTTTCAGAAGATTTAATGTTCATATATGGACTATTATTAGCTGAGCTTACTAGGGCTTCGGACTAGAGGCCAAAGAACGGTCGACTATATCCTTGGTAGCTGACTTCCTACCGATTTTCTTACATAAAGCAAAAACACAAGGTTCAAAACAATGTTCATAGTAAGCAGGTAAATGGTCCACTGAGCTGAATGAGTAAGTGAGAGAGTAGGGTTCTTACCCCTTTAGCAATATCATGGTGGGAGACACCAGAAATGGGTTTCACGCATTGTACCCATCTGGGAAACCGAAACCTGGGTCTTTGGCATGAAGATCGAACACTTTAACCACAAGCTGAATACACTGAGCTGAATATACGACCATGGGATGTTTGTTTGTTGTTTAACTCCGCACTTAGCACTATTCCAGCTATATGATGGTGCACCATAAATGTTCGATCTGGACCAGACAATCCAGTGATCAATATCATGGGTATTGATTTACGCAATTGGGATAGAACGACATGCATCAACCAAATCAACGTGCCTAACCACCCAATCCCATTAGTTGCCTCTTACGGCAAGCATGGGTTGTTGAAGACCTATTCTAACCCAGATCTTCACGGGTGTGATATTATCTATAAATGTTTGTACTCAAAACCGACATTCAGCTTATAATCAGGGACAAATGTAACAAATTTTTCATTGTGAAGTCAAAAGTAAAAACAATTATTTTCTACAATTTGATCTATCTTGTGACCATGGTAACAGTCACCAGACTCCATCTTCTCGAAGCAAGGGAGTTAACTGACTTTTAAAGTCCAGTTTCCACCCTTGCCGAACTAGGCTGGAATGACTGGGCTCGATCGTTGCGCCACCAGTGGCTATTACCAATTATGTCCCTTCTAAGCCTCTCCTATGGACCAATCAGATTCCACCTCTCGTATCACTTACGTTTGCTTCACACAAAATGGTGGCGCTCAGGCAGGACGATCTGCTCCATAATCAAGATCTATATTGTGATAAAACAGGTCTTACATCGCGAAATGCATCAAATCACGAGTTTGCGGTGCACATGCTTTGCAAATCCTGCAATCGATCGAAACCTGCTCGACAGTTTACGAACCGGATTTTGATTTCGACTTTGCATAGACTCGTTAGTCCAGACAAAATGTAACTCCATAATACCAGCCTAGTTCGGCAAGGGTGGAAACTGGACTTTTATAGTCAGTTTACTCTCTTGCCTCGGGAAGATGCCAGACTCAAGTATTGGTACTCAGTATGGGTCTGAAAAACGTGATGTCAAATCAAACAGTATGATGTCATGATATCCGACTTACAAGACGGACACTGGCTCATAACTATGATAAGTATTGGCCCGACTTTCATAGTGCAATTTATTGCAATAATGATTTTTAGATTGCGATACGTATTACAATGTACTGAATGAGTTCTTCCATCTGCAATTTGTTACAAACCTGAATATATAAGAATCTACACAACTGCCTCCCCACTCACAATTTTTCACAACTTTGTCGGTGGCTGCCGTTATGATGGGATGTTGCTATGGTCACAATGTACGCGTAATACACATATTAGACAGGAACCTGTTCACAAATGGTTTCAATTTGTTGTCGCACGAATAAGATGCTAATTTCTGCATTTCATAATCACAAGTCGACGTGTCACTTTTGTAAAGTTTGTCAACAAGATGAAGATATCCACGACTTTGAATACGCAATTTACAGGTATTTTCCAAACACATTGGCATACATATTCTATAGTATTTATATTGTGCAATATCAGTAATACCTTATAGATTCTTTATGGAGTAAAGTTAAGTTCTTGCCCTGATTACACTGTACAGTCGCTGTACTTACCTGACTTTATTTTGAGGATGACACGAACAATAGGTATCATTTCAAACTTGATCACATAATTATCTGCTGGGGAAACAAGAAGACTCTGTTGCTCTGAAATGGTCGTCTCGGTTTCGGTTACCAGGTTCCTGTGGACAATAGCCAGCTGTTTTGATGCCATGAACTGCACGTCTGCATCTGTCGTGCAGGACAAGTTAATCTCCTCTCCTTCTTTGACGTAATCGGGTCCAGTGACGTCAAACCTTGGGTTATCTTGTGCATGGCTGATGCCTGGAACAGACACAAGAATGCATTACCATGGTTACAACAGTAAAAGCTTGAACTTGTTCATGTGATGGAGTGAGTGATTTGATTAACGCCGCTTTTAGCAATATTCCAGCAATATCATGGCTAGGGACACCAGAAATGGGCTTCACTAAATGTACCCATGTGGGGAATCAACCCAAGCCTTCGACGTGATGAGAGAATGCTTAACCACTAGGCAACACTGGTGTAACGACTCAATATTGCATCCCGGTCAAAAGCCCATGATACAATATAGGGATTAAAAACAAATGTACTGTGATACATTACAAATTATATTGGTGTAAAATACATGGCTAATAACAGAAACTGTTAAACACCAGTGTGTGCAGATTCTCTGGTATTTACCAGCTGGCAATAAATAGCATAACATTCACTGTGCCTATATGTTTCGGGATTACAATATCCTATCTTCAATCTCTGAAATTTAAGAGTGAGTGAGTGAGTGAGTTGCGTTTAACAGTATTCAAGTTATATCACGTCGTGTCAGCTTAATGTGGGAGGAAAGCCCAAAGTGATGCAGGTATCGGATGTTTACCACTTCGGTGAAACCCGCGAGCACGGGTATGGTGCTGACAAACCTAGAAACATAATCGAGGCGATTGAAATCTAAGAACAAATGATTCAAGGTTGTGATTCATCTGCAAACAGGAAGAATATCCACTAATGAAAAAAAGCACTGCGTAACAATGCGAATCGTTGTGAACATGGTCTCTTGTTCGACAGGAAATTTAGGAAACTTTTGCTGCAGAATATCGGCCTCTGAGCAGGTACAGGGAAGTCCTTTAAGGGCTTTACTAGTCATTTGAAATATAACATTGTTTCTTTATCTTGAACTAAAACATGCTTTGCACAACTAAAACATCAAGTTGCTTGGTTGAAAACTCCTTATGCTATCCCAGACTCACTTACCGAGGAAAACCACCGTCTTGGTTGCTGACTCTAGAGCATCACTGGTCCCTCTCTTCTGTGTGCGACATGTGTATTCCCCGTCAGCAGCAGCAGTAGCTAGAAACAATTCAATCACACAATTTTACAAGATCTCAAAATCCGGTATTAAACAGACTTTGACAAAGACTTGTGACTTTTTTACTGGCCCGAACATGGTTCTTCTTCTTATTTTCAGAAGATTTAATGTTCATATATGGCCTATTTTTAGCTGAGCTTACTAGGGCTTTGGACTAGAGGCGAAAGAACGGTCGACTATATCCTTGGTAGCTGACTTCCTACCGATTTTCTTACATAAAGCAAAAACACAAGGTTCAAAACAATGTTCATAGTAAGCAGGAAAATGGTCCACTGAGCTGAATGAGTAAGTGAGAGAGTATGGTTCTTACCCCTTTAGCAATATCATGGTGAGAGACACCAGAAATGGGTTTCACACATTGTACCCATCTGGGAAACCGAAACCTGGGTCATTGGCATGAAGATCGAACACCTTAACCACAAGCTGAATACACTGAGCTGAATATACGACCATGGGATGTTTGTTTGTTGTTTAACTCCGCACTTAGCACTATTCCAGCTATATGATGGTGCACCATAAATGTTCGATCTGGACCAGACAATCCAGTGATCAATATCATGGGTATTGATTTACGCAATTGGGATAGAACGACATGCATCAACCAAATCAACGTGCCTAACCACCCAATCCCATTAGTTGCCTCTTACGGCAAGCATGGGTTGTTGAAGACCTATTCTAACCCAGATCTTCACGGGTGTGATATTATCTATAAATGTTTGTACTCAAAACCGACCTTCAGCTTATAATCAGGGACAAATGTAACAAATTTTTCATTGTGAAGTCAAAAGTAAAAACAATTATTTTCTACAATTTGATCTATCTTGTGACCATGGTAACAGTCACCAGACTCCATCTTCTCGAAGCAAGGGAGTTAACTGACTTTTAAAGTCCAGTTTCCACCCTTGCCGAACTAGGCTGGAATGACTGGGCTCGATCGTTGCGCCACCAGTGGCTATTACCAATTATGTCCCTTCTAAGCCTCTCCTATGGACCAATCAGATTCCACCTCTCGTATCACTTACGTTTGCTTCACACAAAATGGTGGCGCTCAGGCAGGACGATCTGCTCCATAATCAAGATCTATATTGTGATAAAACAGGTCTTACATCGCGAAATGCATCAAATCACGAGTTTGCGGTGCACATGCTTTGCAAATCCTGCAATCGATCGAAACCTGCTCGACAGTTTACGAACCGGATTTTGATTTCGACTTTGCATAGACTCGTTATTCCAGACAAAATGTAACTCCATAATACCAGCCTAGTTCGGCAAGGGTGGAAACTGGACTTTTATAGTCAGTTTACTCTCTTGCCTCGGGAAGATGCCAGACTCAAGTATTGGTACTCAGTATGGGTCTGAAAAACGTGATGTCAAATCAAACAGTATGATGTCATGATATCCGACTTACAAGACGGACACTGGCTCATAACTATGATAAGTATTGGCCCGACTTTCATAGTGCAATTTATTGCAATAATGATTTTTAGATTGCGATACGTATTACAATGTACTGAATGAGTTCTTCCGTCTGCAATTTGTTACAAACCTGAATATATAAGAATCTACACAACTGCCTCCCCACTCACAATTTTTCACAACTTTGTCGGTGGCTGCCGTTATGATGGGATGTTGCTATGGTCACAATGTACGCGTAATACACATATTAGACAGGAACCTGTTCACAAATGGTTTCAATTTGTTGTCGCACGAATAAGATGCTAATTTCTGCATTTCATAATCACAAGTCGACGTGTCACTTTTGTAAAGTTTGTCAACAAGATGAAGATATCCACGACTTTGAATACGCAATTTACAGGTATTTTCCAAACACATTGGCATACATATTCTATAGTATTTATATTGTGCAATATCAGTAATACCTTATAGATTCTTTATGGAGTAAAGTTAAGTTCTTGCCCTGATTACACTGTACAGTCGCTGTACTTACCTGACTTTATTTTGAGGATGACACGAACAATAGGTATCATTTCAAACTTGATCACATAATTATCTGCTGGGGAAACAAGAAGACTCTGTTGCTCTGAAATGATCGTCTCGGTTTCGGTTACCAGGTTCCTGTGGACAATAGCCAGCTGTTTTGATGCCATGAACTGCACGTCTGCATCTGTCGTGCAGGACAAGTTAATCTCCTCTCCTTCTTTGACGTAATCGGGTCCAGTGACGTCAAACCTTGGGTTATCTTGTGCATGGCTGATGCCTGGAACAGACACAAGAATGCATTACCATGGTTACAACAGTAAAAGCTTGAACTTGTTCATGTGATGGAGTGAGTGATTTGATTAACGCCGCTTTTAGCAATATTCCAGCAATATCATGGCTAGGGACACCAGAAATGGGCTTCACTAAATGTACCCATGTGGGGAATCAACCCAAGCCTTCGACGTGATGAGAGAATGCTTAACCACTAGGCAACACTGGTGTAACGACTCAATATTGCATCCCGGTCAAAAGCCCATGATACAATATAGGGATTAAAAACAAATGTACTGTGATACATTACAAATTATATTGGTGTAAAATACATGGCTAATAACAGAAACTGTTAAACACCAGTGTGTGCAGATTCTCTGGTATTTACCAGCTGGCAATAAATAGCATAACATTCACTGTGCCTATATGTTTCGGGATTACAATATCCTATCTTCAATCTCTGAAATTTAAGAGTGAGTGAGTGAGTGAGTTGCGTTTAACAGTATTCAAGTTATATCACGTCGTGTCAGCTTAATGTGGGAGGAAAGCCCAAAGTGATGCAGGTATCGGATGTTTACCACTTCGGTGAAACCCGCGAGCACGGGTATGGTGCTGACAAACCTAGAAACATAATCGAGGCGATTGAAATCTAAGAACAAATGATTCAAGGTTGTGATTCATCTGCAAACAGGAAGAATATCCACTAATGAAAAAAAGCACTGCGTAACAATGCGAATCGTTGTGAACATGGTCTCTTGTTCGACAGGAAATTTAGGAAACTTTTGCTGCAGAATATCGGCCTCTGAGCAGGTACAGGGAAGTCCTTTAAGGGCTTTACTAGTCATTTGAAATATAACATTGTTTCTTTATCTTGAACTAAAACATGCTTTGCACAACTAAAACATCAAGTTGCTTGGTTGAAAACTCCTTATGCTATCCCAGACTCACTTACCGAGGAAAACCACCGTCTTGGTTGCTGACTCTAGAGCATCACTGGTCCCTCTCTTCTGTGTGCGACATGTGTATTCCCCGTCAGCAGCAGCAGTAGCTAGAAACAATTCAATCACACAATTTTACAAGATCTCAAAATCCGGTATTAAACAGACTTTGACAAAGACTTGTGACTTTTTTACTGGCCCGAACATGGTTCTTCTTCTTATTTTCAGAAGATTTAATGTTCATATATGGCCTATTTTTAGCTGAGCTTACTAGGGCTTTGGACTAGAGGCGAAAGAACGGTCGACTATATCCTTGGTAGCTGACTTCCTACCGATTTTCTTACATAAAGCAAAAACACAAGGTTCAAAACAATGTTCATAGTAAGCAGGAAAATGGTCCACTGAGCTGAATGAGTAAGTGAGAGAGTATGGTTCTTACCCCTTTAGCAATATCATGGTGAGAGACACCAGAAATGGGTTTCACACATTGTACCCATCTGGGAAACCGAAACCTGGGTCATTGGCATGAAGATCGAACACTTTAACCACAAGCTGAATACACTGAGCTGAATATACGACCATGGGATGTTTGTTTGTTGTTTAACTCCGCACTTAGCACTATTCCAGCTATATGATGGTGCACCATAAATGTTCGATCTGGACCAGACAATCCAGTGATCAATATCATGGGTATTGATTTACGCAATTGGGATAGAACGACATGCATCAACCAAATCAACGTGCCTAACCACCCAATCCCATTAGTTGCCTCTTACGGCAAGCATGGGTTGTTGAAGACCTATTCTAACCCAGATCTTCACGGGTGTGATATTATCTATAAATGTTTGTACTCAAAACCGACATTCAGCTTATAATCAGGGACAAATGTAACAAATTTTTCATTGTGAAGTCAAAAGTAAAAACAATTATTTTCTACAATTTGATCTATCTTGTGACCATGGTAACAGTCACCAGACTCCATCTTCTCGAAGCAAGGGAGTTAACTGACTTTTAAAGTCCAGTTTCCACCCTTGCCGAACTAGGCTGGAATGACTGGGCTCGATCGTTGCGCCACCAGTGGCTATTACCAATTATGTCCCTTCTAAGCCTCTCCTATGGACCAATCAGATTCCACCTCTCGTATCACTTACGTTTGCTTCACACAAAATGGTGGCGCTCAGGCAGGACGATCTGCTCCATAATCAAGATCTATATTGTGATAAAACAGGTCTTACATCGCGAAATGCATCAAATCACGAGTTTGCGGTGCACATGCTTTGCAAATCCTGCAATCGATCGAAACCTGCTCGACAGTTTACGAACCGGATTTTGATTTCGACTTTGCATAGACTCGTTATTCCAGACAAAATGTAACTCCATAATACCAGCCTAGTTCGGCAAGGGTGGAAACTGGACTTTTATAGTCAGTTTACTCTCTTGCCTCGGGAAGATGCCAGACTCAAGTATTGGTACTCAGTATGGGTCTGAAAAACGTGATGTCAAATCAAACAGTATGATGTCATGATATCCGACTTACAAGACGGACACTGGCTCATAACTATGATAAGTATTGGCCCGACTTTCATAGTGCAATTTATTGCAATAATGATTTTTAGATTGCGATACGTATTACAATGTACTGAATGAGTTCTTCCGTCTGCAATTTGTTACAAACCTGAATATATAAGAATCTACACAACTGCCTCCCCACTCACAATTTTTCACAACTTTGTCGGTGGCTGCCGTTATGATGGGATGTTGCTATGGTCACAATGTACGCGTAATACACATATTAGACAGGAACCTGTTCACAAATGGTTTCAATTTGTTGTCGCACGAATAAGATGCTAATTTCTGCATTTCATAATCACAAGTCGACGTGTCACTTTTGTAAAGTTTGTCAACAAGATGAAGATATCCACGACTTTGAATACGCAATTTACAGGTATTTTCCAAACACATTGGCATACATATTCTATAGTATTTATATTGTGCAATATCAGTAATACCTTATAGATTCTTTATGGAGTAAAGTTAAGTTCTTGCCCTGATTACACTGTACAGTCGCTGTACTTACCTGACTTTATTTTGAGGATGACACGAACAATAGGTATCATTTCAAACTTGATCACATAATTATCTGCTGGGGAAACAAGAAGACTCTGTTGCTCTGAAATGATCGTCTCGGTTTCGGTTACCAGGTTCCTGTGGACAATAGCCAGCTGTTTTGATGCCATGAACTGCACGTCTGCATCTGTCGTGCAGGACAAGTTAATCTCCTCTCCTTCTTTGACGTAATCGGGTCCAGTGACGTCAAACCTTGGGTTATCTTGTGCATGGCTGATGCCTGGAACAGACACAAGAATGCATTACCATGGTTACAACAGTAAAAGCTTGAACTTGTTCATGTGATGGAGTGAGTGATTTGATTAACGCCGCTTTTAGCAATATTCCAGCAATATCATGGCTAGGGACACCAGAAATGGGCTTCACTAAATGTACCCATGTGGGGAATCAACCCAAGCCTTCGACGTGATGAGAGAATGCTTAACCACTAGGCAACACTGGTGTAACGACTCAATATTGCATCCCGGTCAAAAGCCCATGATACAATATAGGGATTAAAAACAAATGTACTGTGATACATTACAAATTATATTGGTGTAAAATACATGGCTAATAACAGAAACTGTTAAACACCAGTGTGTGCAGATTCTCTGGTATTTACCAGCTGGCAATAAATAGCATAACATTCACTGTGCCTATATGTTTCGGGATTACAATATCCTATCTTCAATCTCTGAAATTTAAGAGTGAGTGAGTGAGTGAGTTGCGTTTAACAGTATTCAAGTTATATCACGTCGTGTCAGCTTAATGTGGGAGGAAAGCCCAAAGTGATGCAGGTATCGGATGTTTACCACTTCGGTGAAACCCGCGAGCACGGGTATGGTGCTGACAAACCTAGAAACATAATCGAGGCGATTGAAATCTAAGAACAAATGATTCAAGGTTGTGATTCATCTGCAAACAGGAAGAATATCCACTAATGAAAAAAAGCACTGCGTAACAATGCGAATCGTTGTGAACATGGTCTCTTGTTCGACAGGAAATTTAGGAAACTTTTGCTGCAGAATATCGGCCTCTGAGCAGGTACAGGGAAGTCCTTTAAGGGCTTTACTAGTCATTTGAAATATAACATTGTTTCTTTATCTTGAACTAAAACATGCTTTGCACAACTAAAACATCAAGTTGCTTGGTTGAAAACTCCTTATGCTATCCCAGACTCACTTACCGAGGAAAACCACCGTCTTGGTTGCTGACTCTAGAGCATCACTGGTCCCTCTCTTCTGTGTGCGACATGTGTATTCCCCGTCAGCAGCAGCAGTAGCTAGAAACAATTCAATCACACAATTTTACAAGATCTCAAAATCCGGTATTAAACAGACTTTGACAAAGACTTGTGACTTTTTTACTGGCCCGAACATGGTTCTTCTTCTTATTTTCAGAAGATTTAATGTTCATATATGGCCTATTTTTAGCTGAGCTTACTAGGGCTTTGGACTAGAGGCGAAAGAACGGTCGACTATATCCTTGGTAGCTGACTTCCTACCGATTTTCTTACATAAAGCAAAAACACAAGGTTCAAAACAATGTTCATAGTAAGCAGGAAAATGGTCCACTGAGCTGAATGAGTAAGTGAGAGAGTATGGTTCTTACCCCTTTAGCAATATCATGGTGAGAGACACCAGAAATGGGTTTCACACATTGTACCCATCTGGGAAACCGAAACCTGGGTCATTGGCATGAAGATCGAACACTTTAACCACAAGCTGAATACACTGAGCTGAATATACGACCATGGGATGTTTGTTTGTTGTTTAACTCCGCACTTAGCACTATTCCAGCTATATGATGGTGCACCATAAATGTTCGATCTGGACCAGACAATCCAGTGATCAATATCATGGGTATTGATTTACGCAATTGGGATAGAACGACATGCATCAACCAAATCAACGTGCCTAACCACCCAATCCCATTAGTTGCCTCTTACGGCAAGCATGGGTTGTTGAAGACCTATTCTAACCCAGATCTTCACGGGTGTGATATTATCTATAAATGTTTGTACTCAAAACCGACATTCAGCTTATAATCAGGGACAAATGTAACAAATTTTTCATTGTGAAGTCAAAAGTAAAAACAATTATTTTCTACAATTTGATCTATCTTGTGACCATGGTAACAGTCACCAGACTCCATCTTCTCGAAGCAAGGGAGTTAACTGACTTTTAAAGTCCAGTTTCCACCCTTGCCGAACTAGGCTGGAATGACTGGGCTCGATCGTTGCGCCACCAGTGGCTATTACCAATTATGTCCCTTCTAAGCCTCTCCTATGGACCAATCAGATTCCACCTCTCGTATCACTTACGTTTGCTTCACACAAAATGGTGGCGCTCAGGCAGGACGATCTGCTCCATAATCAAGATCTATATTGTGATAAAACAGGTCTTACATCGCGAAATGCATCAAATCACGAGTTTGCGGTGCACATGCTTTGCAAATCCTGCAATCGATCGAAACCTGCTCGACAGTTTACGAACCGGATTTTGATTTCGACTTTGCATAGACTCGTTATTCCAGACAAAATGTAACTCCATAATACCAGCCTAGTTCGGCAAGGGTGGAAACTGGACTTTTATAGTCAGTTTACTCTCTTGCCTCGGGAAGATGCCAGACTCAAGTATTGGTACTCAGTATGGGTCTGAAAAACGTGATGTCAAATCAAACAGTATGATGTCATGATATCCGACTTACAAGACGGACACTGGCTCATAACTATGATAAGTATTGGCCCGACTTTCATAGTGCAATTTATTGCAATAATGATTTTTAGATTGCGATACGTATTACAATGTACTGAATGAGTTCTTCCATCTGCAATTTGTTACAAACCTGAATATATAAGAATCTACACAACTGCCTCCCCACTCACAATTTTTCACAACTTTGTCGGTGGCTGCCGTTATGATGGGATGTTGCTATGGTCACAATGTACGCGTAATACACATATTAGACAGGAACCTGTTCACAAATGGTTTCAATTTGTTGTCGCACGAATAAGATGCTAATTTCTGCATTTCATAATCACAAGTCGACGTGTCACTTTTGTAAAGTTTGTCAACAAGATGAAGATATCCACGACTTTGAATACGCAATTTACAGGTATTTTCCAAACACATTGGCATACATATTCTATAGTATTTATATTGTGCAATATCAGTAATACCTTATAGATTCTTTATGGAGTAAAGTTAAGTTCTTGCCCTGATTACACTGTACAGTCGCTGTACTTACCTGACTTTATTTTGAGGATGACACGAACAATAGGTATCATTTCAAACTTGATCACATAATTATCTGCTGGGGAAACAAGAAGACTCTGTTGCTCTGAAATGGTCGTCTCGGTTTCGGTTACCAGGTTCCTGTGGACAATAGCCAGCTGTTTTGATGCCATGAACTGCACGTCTGCATCTGTCGTGCAGGACAAGTTAATCTCCTCTCCTTCTTTGACGTAATCGGGTCCAGTGACGTCAAACCTTGGGTTATCTTGTGCATGGCTGATGCCTGGAACAGACACAAGAATGCATTACCATGGTTACAACAGTAAAAGCTTGAACTTGTTCATGTGATGGAGTGAGTGATTTGATTAACGCCGCTTTTAGCAATATTCCAGCAATATCATGGCTAGGGACACCAGAAATGGGCTTCACTAAATGTACCCATGTGGGGAATCAACCCAAGCCTTCGACGTGATGAGAGAATGCTTAACCACTAGGCAACACTGGTGTAACGACTCAATATTGCATCCCGGTCAAAAGCCCATGATACAATATAGGGATTAAAAACAAATGTACTGTGATACATTACAAATTATATTGGTGTAAAATACATGGCTAATAACAGAAACTGTTAAACACCAGTGTGTGCAGATTCTCTGGTATTTACCAGCTGGCAATAAATAGCATAACATTCACTGTGCCTATATGTTTCGGGATTACAATATCCTATCTTCAATCTCTGAAATTTAAGAGTGAGTGAGTGAGTGAGTTGCGTTTAACAGTATTCAAGTTATATCACGTCGTGTCAGCTTAATGTGGGAGGAAAGCCCAAAGTGATGCAGGTATCGGATGTTTACCACTTCGGTGAAACCCGCGAGCACGGGTATGGTGCTGACAAACCTAGAAACATAATCGAGGCGATTGAAATCTAAGAACAAATGATTCAAGGTTGTGATTCATCTGCAAACAGGAAGAATATCCACTAATGAAAAAAAGCACTGCGTAACAATGCGAATCGTTGTGAACATGGTCTCTTGTTCGACAGGAAATTTAGGAAACTTTTGCTGCAGAATATCGGCCTCTGAGCAGGTACAGGGAAGTCCTTTAAGGGCTTTACTAGTCATTTGAAATATAACATTGTTTCTTTATCTTGAACTAAAACATGCTTTGCACAACTAAAACATCAAGTTGCTTGGTTGAAAACTCCTTATGCTATCCCAGACTCACTTACCGAGGAAAACCACCGTCTTGGTTGCTGACTCTAGAGCATCACTGGTCCCTCTCTTCTGTGTGCGACATGTGTATTCCCCGTCAGCAGCAGCAGTAGCTAGAAACAATTCAATCACACAATTTTACAAGATCTCAAAATCCGGTATTAAACAGACTTTGACAAAGACTTGTGACTTTTTTACTGGCCCGAACATGGTTCTTCTTCTTATTTTCAGAAGATTTAATGTTCATATATGGCCTATTTTTAGCTGAGCTTACTAGGGCTTTGGACTAGAGGCGAAAGAACGGTCGACTATATCCTTGGTAGCTGACTTCCTACCGATTTTCTTACATAAAGCAAAAACACAAGGTTCAAAACAATGTTCATAGTAAGCAGGAAAATGGTCCACTGAGCTGAATGAGTAAGTGAGAGAGTATGGTTCTTACCCCTTTAGCAATATCATGGTGAGAGACACCAGAAATGGGTTTCACACATTGTACCCATCTGGGAAACCGAAACCTGGGTCATTGGCATGAAGATCGAACACCTTAACCACAAGCTGAATACACTGAGCTGAATATACGACCATGGGATGTTTGTTTGTTGTTTAACTCCGCACTTAGCACTATTCCAGCTATATGATGGTGCACCATAAATGTTCGATCTGGACCAGACAATCCAGTGATCAATATCATGGGTATTGATTTACGCAATTGGGATAGAACGACATGCATCAACCAAATCAACGTGCCTAACCACCCAATCCCATTAGTTGCCTCTTACGGCAAGCATGGGTTGTTGAAGACCTATTCTAACCCAGATCTTCACGGGTGTGATATTATCTATAAATGTTTGTACTCAAAACCGACATTCAGCTTATAATCAGGGACAAATGTAACAAATTTTTCATTGTGAAGTCAAAAGTAAAAACAATTATTTTCTACAATTTGATCTATCTTGTGACCATGGTAACAGTCACCAGACTCCATCTTCTCGAAGCAAGGGAGTTAACTGACTTTTAAAGTCCAGTTTCCACCCTTGCCGAACTAGGCTGGAATGACTGGGCTCGATCGTTGCGCCACCAGTGGCTATTACCAATTATGTCCCTTCTAAGCCTCTCCTATGGACCAATCAGATTCCACCTCTCGTATCACTTACGTTTGCTTCACACAAAATGGTGGCGCTCAGGCAGGACGATCTGCTCCATAATCAAGATCTATATTGTGATAAAACAGGTCTTACATCGCGAAATGCATCAAATCACGAGTTTGCGGTGCACATGCTTTGCAAATCCTGCAATCGATCGAAACCTGCTCGACAGTTTACGAACCGGATTTTGATTTCGACTTTGCATAGACTCGTTAGTCCAGACAAAATGTAACTCCATAATACCAGCCTAGTTCGGCAAGGGTGGAAACTGGACTTTTATAGTCAGTTTACTCTCTTGCCTCGGGAAGATGCCAGACTCAAGTATTGGTACTCAGTATGGGTCTGAAAAACGTGATGTCAAATCAAACAGTATGATGTCATGATATCCGACTTACAAGACGGACACTGGCTCATAACTATGATAAGTATTGGCCCGACTTTCATAGTGCAATTTATTGCAATAATGATTTTTAGATTGCGATACGTATTACAATGTACTGAATGAGTTCTTCCGTCTGCAATTTGTTACAAACCTGAATATATAAGAATCTACACAACTGCCTCCCCACTCACAATTTTTCACAACTTTGTCGGTGGCTGCCGTTATGATGGGATGTTGCTATGGTCACAATGTACGCGTAATACACATATTAGACAGGAACCTGTTCACAAATGGTTTCAATTTGTTGTCGCACGAATAAGATGCTAATTTCTGCATTTCAGAATCACAAGTCGACGTGTCACTTTTGTAAAGTTTGTCAACAAGATGAAGATATCCACGACTTTGAATACGCAATTTACAGGTATTTTCCAAACACATTGGCATACATATTCTGTAGTATTTATATTGTGCAATATCAGTAATACCTTATAGATTCTTTATGGAGTAAAGTTAAGTTCTTGCCCTGATTACACTGTACAGTCGCTGTACTTACCTGACTTTATTTTGAGGATGACACGAACAATAGGTATCATTTCAAACTTGATCACATAATTATCTGCTGGGGAAACAAGAAGACTCTGTTGCTCTGAAATGATCGTCTCGGTTTCGGTTACCAGGTTCCTGTGGACAATAGCCAGCTGTTTTGATGCCATGAACTGCACGTCTGCATCTGTCGTGCAGGACAAGTTAATCTCCTCTCCTTCTTTGACGTAATCGGGTCCAGTGACGTCAAACCTTGGGTTATCTTGTGCATGGCTGATGCCTGGAACAGACACAAGAATGCATTACCATGGTTACAACAGTAAAAGCTTGAACTTGTTCATGTGATGGAGTGAGTGATTTGATTAACGCCGCTTTTAGCAATATTCCAGCAATATCATGGCTAGGGACACCAGAAATGGGCTTCACTAAATGTACCCATGTGGGGAATCAACCCAAGCCTTCGACGTGATGAGAGAATGCTTAACCACTAGGCAACACTGGTGTAACGACTCAATATTGCATCCCGGTCAAAAGCCCATGATACAATATAGGGATTAAAAACAAATGTACTGTGATACATTACAAATTATATTGGTGTAAAATACATGGCTAATAACAGAAACTGTTAAACACCAGTGTGTGCAGATTCTCTGGTATTTACCAGCTGGCAATAAATAGCATAACATTCACTGTGCCTATATGTTTCGGGATTACAATATCCTATCTTCAATCTCTGAAATTTAAGAGTGAGTGAGTGAGTGAGTTGCGTTTAACAGTATTCAAGTTATATCACGTCGTGTCAGCTTAATGTGGGAGGAAAGCCCAAAGTGATGCAGGTATCGGATGTTTACCACTTCGGTGAAACCCGCGAGCACGGGTATGGTGCTGACAAACCTAGAAACATAATCGAGGCGATTGAAATCTAAGAACAAATGATTCAAGGTTGTGATTCATCTGCAAACAGGAAGAATATCCACTAATGAAAAAAAGCACTGCGTAACAATGCGAATCGTTGTGAACATGGTCTCTTGTTCGACAGGAAATTTAGGAAACTTTTGCTGCAGAATATCGGCCTCTGAGCAGGTACAGGGAAGTCCTTTAAGGGCTTTACTAGTCATTTGAAATATAACATTGTTTCTTTATCTTGAACTAAAACATGCTTTGCACAACTAAAACATCAAGTTGCTTGGTTGAAAACTCCTTATGCTATCCCAGACTCACTTACCGAGGAAAACCACCGTCTTGGTTGCTGAATCTAGAGCATCACTGGTCCCTCTCTTCTGTGTGCGACATGTGTATTCCCCGTCAGCAGCAGCAGTAGCTAGAAACAATTCAATCACACAATTTTACAAGATCTCAAAATCCGGTATTAAACAGACTTTGACAAAGACTTGTGACTTTTTTACTGGCCCGAACATGGTTCTTCTTATTATTTTCAGAAGATTTAATGTTCATATATGGCCTATTTTTAGCTGAGCTTACTAGGGCTTTGGACTAGAGGCGAAAGAACGGTCGACTATATCCTTGGTAGCTGACTTCCTACCGATTTTCTTACATAAAGCAAAAACACAAGGTTCAAAACAATGTTCATAGTAAGCAGGAAAATGGTCCACTGAGCTGAATGAGTAAGTGAGAGAGTATGGTTCTTACCCCTTTAGCAATATCATGGTGAGAGACACCAGAAATGGGTTTCACACATTGTACCCATCTGGGAAACCGAAACCTGGGTCATTGGCATGAAGATCGAACACTTTAACCACAAGCTGAATACACTGAGCTGAATATACGACCATGGGATGTTTGTTTGTTGTTTAACTCCGCACTTAGCACTATTCCAGCTATATGATGGTGCACCATAAATGTTCGATCTGGACCAGACAATCCAGTGATCAATATCATGGGTATTGATTTACGCAATTGGGATAGAACGACATGCATCAACCAAATCAACGTGCCTAACCACCCAATCCCATTAGTTGCCTCTTACGGCAAGCATGGGTTGTTGAAGACCTATTCTAACCCAGATCTTCACGGGTGTGATATTATCTATAAATGTTTGTACTCAAAACCGACATTCAGCTTATAATCAGGGACAAATGTAACAAATTTTTCATTGTGAAGTCAAAAGTAAAAACAATTATTTTCTACAATTTGATCTATCTTGTGACCATGGTAACAGTCACCAGACTCCATCTTCTCGAAGCAAGGGAGTTAACTGACTTTTAAAGTCCAGTTTCCACCCTTGCCGAACTAGGCTGGAATGACTGGGCTCGATCGTTGCGCCACCAGTGGCTATTACCAATTATGTCCCTTCTAAGCCTCTCCTATGGACCAATCAGATTCCACCTCTCGTATCACTTACGTTTGCTTCACACAAAATGGTGGCGCTCAGGCAGGACGATCTGCTCCATAATCAAGATCTATATTGTGATAAAACAGGTCTTACATCGCGAAATGCATCAAATCACGAGTTTGCGGTGCACATGCTTTGCAAATCCTGCAATCGATCGAAACCTGCTCGACAGTTTACGAACCGGATTTTGATTTCGACTTTGCATAGACTCGTTAGTCCAGACAAAATGTAACTCCATAATACCAGCCTAGTTCGGCAAGGGTGGAAACTGGACTTTTATAGTCAGTTTACTCTCTTGCCTCGGGAAGATGCCAGACTCAAGTATTGGTACTCAGTATGGGTCTGAAAAACGTGATGTCAAATCAAACAGTATGATGTCATGATATCCGACTTACAAGACGGACACTGGCTCATAACTATGATGAGTATTGGCCCGACTTTCATAGTGCAATTTATTGCAATAATGATTTTTAGATTGCGATACGTATTACAATGTACTGAATGAGTTCTTCCATCTGCAATTTGTTACAAACCTGAATATATAAGAATCTACACAACTGCCTCCCCACTCACAATTTTTCACAACTTTGTCGGTGGCTGCCGTTATGATGGGATGTTGCTATGGTCACAATGTACGCGTAATACACATATTAGACAGGAACCTGTTCACAAATGGTTTCAATTTGTTGTCGCACGAATAAGATGCTAATTTCTGCATTTCATAATCACAAGTCGACGTGTCACTTTTGTAAAGTTTGTCAACAAGATGAAGATATCCACGACTTTGAATACGCAATTTACAGGTATTTTCCAAACACATTGGCATACATATTCTATAGTATTTATATTGTGCAATATCAGTAATACCTTATAGATTCTTTATGGAGTAAAGTTAAGTTCTTGCCCTGATTACACTGTACAGTCGCTGTACTTACCTGACTTTATTTTGAGGATGACACGAACAATAGGTATCATTTCAAACTTGATCACATAATTATCTGCTGGGGAAACAAGAAGACTCTGTTGCTCTGAAATGATCGTCTCGGTTTCGGTTACCAGGTTCCTGTGGACAATAGCCAGCTGTTTTGATGCCATGAACTGCACGTCTGCATCTGTCGTGCAGGACAAGTTAATCTCCTCTCCTTCTTTGACGTAATCGGGTCCAGTGACGTCAAACCTTGGGTTATCTTGTGCATGGCTGATGCCTGGAACAGACACAAGAATGCATTACCATGGTTACAACAGTAAAAGCTTGAACTTGTTCATGTGATGGAGTGAGTGATTTGATTAACGCCGCTTTTAGCAATATTCCAGCAATATCATGGCTAGGGACACCAGAAATGGGCTTCACTAAATGTACCCATGTGGGGAATCAACCCAAGCCTTCGACGTGATGAGAGAATGCTTAACCACTAGGCAACACTGGTGTAACGACTCAATATTGCATCCCGGTCAAAAGCCCATGATACAATATAGGGATTAAAAACAAATGTACTGTGATACATTACAAATTATATTGGTGTAAAATACATGGCTAATAACAGAAACTGTTAAACACCAGTGTGTGCAGATTCTCTGGTATTTACCAGCTGGCAATAAATAGCATAACATTCACTGTGCCTATATGTTTCGGGATTACAATATCCTATCTTCAATCTCTGAAATTTAAGAGTGAGTGAGTGAGTGAGTTGCGTTTAACAGTATTCAAGTTATATCACGTCGTGTCAGCTTAATGTGGGAGGAAAGCCCAAAGTGATGCAGGTATCGGATGTTTACCACTTCGGTGAAACCCGCGAGCACGGGTATGGTGCTGACAAACCTAGAAACATAATCGAGGCGATTGAAATCTAAGAACAAATGATTCAAGGTTGTGATTCATCTGCAAACAGGAAGAATATCCACTAATGAAAAAAAGCACTGCGTAACAATGCGAATCGTTGTGAACATGGTCTCTTGTTCGACAGGAAATTTAGGAAACTTTTGCTGCAGAATATCGGCCTCTGAGCAGGTACAGGGAAGTCCTTTAAGGGCTTTACTAGTCATTTGAAATATAACATTGTTTCTTTATCTTGAACTAAAACATGCTTTGCACAACTAAGACATCAAGTTGCTTGGTTGAAAACTCCTTATGCTATCCCAGACTCACTTACCGAGGAAAACCACCGTCTTGGTTGCTGACTCTAGAGCATCACTGGTCCCTCTCTTCTGTGTGCGACATGTGTATTCCCCGTCAGCAGCAGCAGTAGCTAGAAACAATTCAATCACACAATTTTACAAGATCTCAAAATCCGGTATTAAACAGACTTTGACAAAGACTTGTGACTTTTTACTCGCCCGAACATGGTTCTTCTTATTTTCAGAAGATTTAATGTTCATATATGGCCTATTATTAGCTGAGCTTACTAGGGCTTCGGACTAGAGGCCAAAGAACGGTCGACTATATCCTTGGTAGCTGACTTCCTACCGATTTTCTTACATAAAGCAAAAACACAAGGTTCAAAACAGTGTTCATAGTAAGCAGGAAAACGGTCCACTGAGCTGAATGAGTAAGTGAGAGAGTATGGTTCTTACCCCTTTAGCAATATCATGGTGGGAGACACCAGAAATGGGTTTCACACATTGTACCCATCTGGGAAACCGAAACCTGGGTCTTTGGCATGAAGATCGAACACTTTAACCACAAGCTGAATACACTGAGCTGAATATACGACCATGGGATGTTTGTTTGTTGTTTAACTCCGCACTTAGCACTATTCCAGCTATATGATGGTGCACCATAAATGTTCGATCTGGACCAGACAATCCAGTGATCAATATCATGGGTATTGATTTACGCAATTGGGATAGAACGACATGCATCAACCAAATCAACGTGCCTAACCACCCAATCCCATTAGTTGCCTCTTACGGCAAGCATGGGTTGTTGAAGACCTATTCTAACCCAGATCTTCACGGATGTGATATTATCTATAAATATTTCTACTCAATACCGACATTCAGCTCATAATCAGGGACAAATGTAACAAAATTTTCATTGTGAAGTCAAAAGTAAAAACAATTATTTTCTACAATTTGATCTATCTTGTGACCATGTAACAGTCACCAGACTCCATCTTCCCGAAGCAAGGGAGTTAACTGACTTTTAAAGTCCAGTTTCCACCCTTGCCGAACTAGGCTGGAATGACTGGGCTCGATCGTTGCGCCACCAGTGGCTATTACCAATTATGTCCCTTCTAAGCCTCTCCTATGGACCAATCAGATTCCACCTCTCGTATCACTTACGTTTGCTTCACACAAAATGGTGGCGCTCAGGCAGGACGATCTGCTCGATAATCAAGATCTATATTGTGATAAAACAGGTCTTACATCGCGAAATGCATCAAATCACGAGTTTGCGGGGCACATGCTTTGCAAATCCTGCAATCGATCGAAACCTGCACGACCGTTTACGAACCGGATTTTGATTTCGGTGCGCCATTTTGATTGGACTATGCATAGACTCGTTAGTCTAGACAAAATGTAACTCCATAATACCAGCCTAGTTCGGCAAGGGTGGAAACTGGACTTTTATAGTCAGTTTACTCTCTTGCCTCGGGAAGATGCCAGACTCAAGTATTGGTACTCAGTATGGGTCTGAAAAACGTGATGTCAAATCAAACAGTATGATGTCATGATATCCGACTTACAAGACGGACACTGGCTCATAACTATGATGGGTATTGGCCCGACTTTCATAGTGCAATTTTGTAGAATTTTCCTATTCGGAATATTCTATAAGTAATACGTTACCACTGTTATACCGAGGCTGTTGTCTCCCACAACTGCTGCTATAGCGAAATCTACCACAGAGATCTCAATTACCTCATGCAGCACGTGCGTAGCCACCTAGCTGCCATGTGACACCCTTCACTCTTGTCTCTTGCGAGAGCAAGTGCTCGGGGGACGGACGGGCGGGCAGCAGCCCAGTGGTAACGTATTACTTATAGAATATTCCGAAAAGGAAAATTCTACAAATTACATTAAGTAATACGTTACCACTGTTATACCGAGGCTGACTACCACAGAAGGCGGTGGGGAGCACCTACAAGCCGAATCCTGACTGCTAGCGTTCCTTCCGACCAGTGGAAGTAAACACCAAGGCGGAAGCACTCGATGCGCATGCACCTAGCTAGGCGTTACCTAGACTGGTTCCCGGATCCTCCGCTTGGTGTCGCTGCACTTGTTCCGCTTTTCAATAGGCGTTACCCTATATTGACCTTTTTCACACTTCGCTACTTCCGGTTTGAAAGCGAGGCTTGGAGAGCAGAAGGTGAAGGCTGGATAGCACATGAAACACATGGAGATGTCAACAAGGCATGCAATCGGGACAAACTGTGACAATTTAACCATCCCGGTACATTTATCGTAAGTATTGAACATTATTCTTATTGACAAACTATTCTACTGTTATCTGGTCTCCTTACCGATATAAATTTGAGTCTGGCCGTTCTGTTGTGATTTCAATTTAAAATATCCATGACCACCTGGTAACTCCCACTGCAGTTTATGGTAGCTGAACAGACTTAATACAAATTCTACTGAAATCTTGTAAAAAAAAAATTTCATTGTTTACACACCATTAAGCCAAACTATTTATTGTGAGTTTAAATAACTTTGCGGGTTGTATTTGAAGTCGAAATATTGACCTTTTGACCATATCTAGATATATGTCAGAAACTAACTAAATTGATATGTTGATATAATGTATCAAATTGTAACCTACTGAGAATTTAAAATCGTAACAAATCAGAAGTTTGCATCAGTTGTGTATTTGATGTAAATTGTAATGGACTCAAATGCATTCCAATAAAATATTAGACCTCTAGATCTACTTGTGCTGTTGGGATTGTAAACAGTTGTTATTTTGATTGTCAATGTTGACAGATTAGATAGCATGAGGTGTAATATTTCAACTGAATTATTACATAAAGGGTGGGTAAATATTTAAAGTAAAGTACAGTTTGATCTGCAATTTTGGTAACAATTAATATTTCTACCAAAATGATATTTACTTTACTGTACCAATTTAATCATGTCATGAAATGAACAAAAACCCAACTAATATAATGTCCAGTAAATGTTCAATCTACATGTGATCTTTATATAATTTACAGAAACAGATAACTCTTTAACAGTTTGTATTCAAATATTTCAAATGCATAAATTGATATTGACATTACTAAAAACTTAAAGTATAAAAAGAATTATTTTTAATTCCAATGCGTATTGCAATCATAACTCATTTATTCCCTTTGTTTAATTGTGAAACCCATCTGGTTTTATGTCCACAAACATGTTTTGAAACTTTTAAAACAAAAGGATATTTTTGGGTGCAAGCAATTGCCATGTATTATTGATTATTAATCATATCAATTTATATATAAGAATATAGTTGTGCTTACTGTGTCATTTTGCAATAATTATATTGTTATGATGTAATATTTTACTATTGTTAACAATCTTTAGAACTTTAGTTTATTTCAATCACGTCAAGTGGTGTGATCATTTTGATATTTTTTTATAATTCAATCAAAACGTGAAAAATAAAAAAATATAAATACATAGAAGAAATTTGTTTTTCTTGTCAAATAACGATGATAGCATGAATTTATCTCATGCTCCTTGTATAGCATGCTCCTTGTAAAAATTCATTCCATTTCTTCTTCGAATGTACCTTATATGATGATTTTAGGCAGACATTACTGACAGCTATCGATAATCTTGGAGGACAAAATACTCTACATAGTTTTCTTTTTGGTGATTCAAACTTAGATGTTTTCCTGAATACAAAAATATTCTTGTCTGTACACAAATTTATAGAAACGACTAACAGATTCAGTAGCTAGCATATTATTGTTTCCAAACTGTTAATCATTAATATTGTTAAATCTATATTCAACACTAAAATGTATAATATTAGAATATGTATGAGATACACACTGTCTTCACTTTCCAGCACATTGTACATATCCTTCATATGAGCACTGTATATATATATTGCGCACTATGTTTCCACAATGTGAAGCTTCAACTGTAAACTGTTCATTTTCATTATGCAATATTATGTTTAACTGTATATAGGGAGAAGGCGGTAATAAGTGCTGCCCTTTGTCTTTTTGGACAATAAAATATGTTTAATAATATTTCATCTTGTGATCTGACAAAGTTAATATTTTCAAGTCAGAATATCAACTTTAGTAAACCACATGAAGATATAAATATTGCATTTGACAAAATAAATTCAAGTCTTATATTTTCTTTGTGATCTTCATGACCTTACTCAGAAAACCATAGTGTCAATGAGGCAGACTGATTGTAGGTGTGACAAAACGTGATATTTCACCTGATTTTAATACAAATCTTATTTTTTTCACTCTAGCGAAAGTTTGTTTTCAGCATGGTCATGATTAAATACATACCGGTAATACAAATATCAAAACGTGTTTCATTAAAACGAAAGGGAATTTCTGTGTGACATTGATATAAAGAGCTGTAGTACACTGTCATTAAATTGATGCATCTGTTGAGTTTACCCTTTACACAGAATATACTGTTTGAGTTTTCGACATATCAGATGAATTGATGCCTTCAAGATTGTTCTAAAGTACATGTAGCATGTAATGTTACACACTGTGATTAATTTTCCTTAAACTTCTCTATTTCAGATGAATGTTGTTTTCTAAATAAGCAATATTTTGAGAGAAGGTGAATATGCATTGTTTATAAAAAATGTTATTGAAGTAGGAATATTATTACAATATAATAGAATTATTCATTTCAGGCCAGCTAGTCAACACAATGAAGTACTAGTATCCGGTGATGGATGTCTGGAGGAGCTTTCTGCTGACAGTAACACAATGGTTACAATGTGCGTCCTGTCAAAGGACGAGGAAGTGAAAAGCCGTATTCATTCAATCAACAAATGTGGTTCCTGTCACATTTCTCTTAAATAGGACGAGGAACTGAAAAGCCTTATTCACTCACAAATCAGCATGGCCAATATTTATCTGACACTGAAAAAGCACATTGTACCATTTGTTTACAAGCAAGAAATTTATTTTCTCCTGGAATTTAATTAGGTGCTTTTGACTGACAAAGACACCCAGTCCATGTTGAGTTTTGAAAACTTATATTGTGAGAAATAAAGATATGAAAATTTTGGTTTGTTTTTCTTTGTCAAATATGAGAAATACAGATTGTTCCATCAACATAATTTGTACCGATACATATATTTTATCTTGGTTTGATTACCAATTGAAGTGGATTCCTTTTTATCTTTTGTTATTTTATCTGTACTCATATCTGATCAAGACATTTTCAAACTATTCAGGATAAATGTATTAGTAGCTTCCTTTTGATATAAAATTACCTTTCATCATACAGGATTAGGTGAGGGTGTTCAAGAAGTTGGTAGTTGTATCAATTCTTATATTTCTTCAATTTCATGCATTATTTATATTTATCAATTTTTAGTTTCCTTTTAACTTATTTTAAACAGTTCACACATTATTACTTTTGTAGTGCACGGTGCAATCTCAATCGGCAATAATCAGTTAAGTAAGTGATGTTTGAAGAACAAGTAAAGTATCATCTGTCATTGTACACACTGAATAGGGTTATTGCCCCTTCTGAATATTTATTTTGACACACGAATTATTTTCATAATTAACATTGTAATATGTTAAAATGAAAATCATAGCAGAAAAAGTGTCTTTTGTCAACTGGACTCATGGCAAAACGATAGTGCGTTGTGCAGCAAACACCACTATGAAACGTGAAATAAACATGATCTCAATCTTGATCTAGAGTTCGCCAAGCCACGCATGGACTGAGCAATTTTGCAAAAGTACACTGACGTGTTTCATGTTATGCGGTTTATTTACCATAGAAAACTTCTGTCATTGAATGTACTGTCACATTGTACCTATATTCCGACGAGGTTATGATAAAACAATCTATTTCTGAAATATGTATCTCGAAATGCACCTTTCGATTCACTTCCGGGATCCTAACAGCAAAATGCTAATTCCAGTGTATAACAGGCATATTTTAGTTGGACCTCATGATTTAATGTGAAATATCTTCTGTATTATATACAGAGGATACCATTTTTTGTTTGTTTGAAATGTCCATCAGTGAAATGCACAACATGCTGTCTATTCCCTATGGGCTGATGCGACTCTCACTGCATGGAGCTATGCTCTCCAAGCCTCGTTTTCGATCCAAGATGGCGAAAGTGTGAAAAAGGTCAATAGGAATACCAAAGCACTGTCAAGCGCATACCGTAAGGCTCAATCGTCATTGCCAAAACGATTGGTGACTCCAAACGGCCCCACTGGATAGGTATTTCATCGCCGCAGCCGCGAAGGCCTTATCCAAAGAAGGCTTAATCCCGCGCAGCAAGGTTGATGCCGGGAAAGCCATGTCGGACGTCTCGTCGTACACCTCGGAGGAACCCACGGAACCTTGGATTCCCCGCGGTATCGGCAGGGGCTTTGGCATGTCCTCGAAGAGATCATAAACCATGGCCACGCGGTCCTTAACCGATAGCGGAAGCAACGGTTCGGGGGAAGGACCGGTAACAACGGCAGCCGCCGCTGTACCGGTGGACCCCGCGTCCGAACCCGCGGGCACCGAAGAGGCCGGGGACGGAACAGCCGTCGGCCTATCTTGGGATAAGGCTGCCAGCTTGGAGTCCACGAGTTTCGACAACAATACGGCGATGGAATCCCCAGACAGCCCGAGGGCCGCAAAGGGATCCGCCGCAGCCAAGGAGTTTGTACTCGCACGGGGACCCCGACCGGACGAACCGGCGACCACAGGGGTGGAGACGGACTGGACATACAGTCGGTAACGCTCAAACTCCGCAGGCCCTAGACCTTCGCACAGGGTGCACTGGGTGTCCCCGCAAGGAACCCTGCACCGTGGGCAACGATCGTGGGGATCCCGGGACGACAAAAATTTTCGGCACACCCCGCAACTCCGAGGAGCAGGGGTTGAGGGGGGTGGAGACTGGGGACAATTCCATGTCAGACATTGTTTGTATTCTATAAACAAAGAACAAAACATGGTTAGAACGCACGCACCACAATGATTCACAAACGAGCATTTTCACAAGAAAATAAACGAGCAATGTGAACATATAACATACACATATAACTTTTATTAAAGAAATAAGTGATTTTAACCCCCAAAACATACAAGAACAGGGGAAACGTAAAACACAACGTGCATACGCGAACCACGCAAGTATACAGAAAAAAGGGCGAGAAAATTTTTCCGTTTGGCGGGAAAATTATAACCAAGCGTAGCTACCGCAACGCCCCATAAAAGCACAGTTTATTAGAGAATAAACTATAATAAATATCACCAAATATTCAAGGAACGCTTCAGCAGTAGGTATACACGTCTTGCTACGCAGACGAAGGAGACAAGAGTGAAGGGTGTCACATGGCAGCTAGGTGGCTACGCACGTGCTGCATGAGGTAATTGAGATCTCTGTGGTAGATTTCGCTATAGCAGCAGTTGTGGGAGACAACAGCCTCGGTATAACAGTGGTAACGTATTACTTAATGTAATTATTGCAATAATGATTTGTAGATTGCGATACGTATTACAATATACTGAATAAGTTCTTCCTGTACTTTCATCTGCAATTTGTTACAAACCTGAATATATAAGAATCTACACAACTGCCTCCCCACTCACAATTTTTCACAACTTTGTCGGTGGCTGCCGTTATGTTGGGATGTTGCTATGGTCACAATGTACGCGTAATACACATATTAGACAGGAACCTGTTCACAAATGGTTTCAATTTGTTGTCGCACGAATAAGATGCTAATTTCTGCATTTCATAATCACAATTCGCCGTGTCACTTTTGTAAAGTTTGTCAACAAGATGAAGATATCCACGACTTTGAATACGCAATTTACAGGTATTTTCCAAACACATTGGCATACATATTCTGTAGTATTTATATTGTGCAATATCAGTAATACCTTATAGATTCTTTATGGAGTAAAGTTAAGTTCTTGCCCTGATTACACTGTACAGCCGCTGTACTTACCTGACTTTATTTTGAGGATGACACGAACAATAGGTATCATTTCAAACTTGATCACATAATTATCTGCTGGGGAAACAAGAAGACGTTGTTGCTCTGAAATGATCGTCTCGGTTTCGGTTACCAGGTTCTTGTGGACAATAGCCAGCTGTTTTGATGCCATGAACTGCACGTCTGCATCTGTCGTGCAGGACAAGTTAATCTCATCTCCTTCTTTGACGTAATCGGGTCCAGTGACGTCAAACCTTGGGTTATCTTGTACATGGCTGATGCCTGGAACAGACACAAGAATGCATTACCATGGTTACAACAGTAAAAGCTTGAACTTGTTCATGTGATGGAGTGAGTGATTTGATTAACGCCGCTTTTAGCAATATTCCAGCAATATCATGGCTAGGGACACCAGAAATGGGCTTCACTAAAAGTACCCATGTGGGGAATCAACCCAAGCCTTCGACGTGATGAGAGAATGCTTAACCACTAGGCAACACTGGTGTAATGACTCAATATTGCATCCCGGTCAAAAGCCCATGATACAATAAAGGGATTAAAAACAAATGTACTGTGATACATTACAAATTATATTGGTGTAAAATACATGGCTAATAACAGAAACTGTTAAACACCAGTGTGTGCAGATTCTCTGGTATTTACCAGCTGGCAATAAATAGCATAACATTCACTGTGCCTATATGTTTCGGGATTACAATATCCTATCTTCAATCTCTGAAATTTAAGAGTGAGTGAGCATGGTGAGTGAGAGGGTTGCGTTTAACAGTATTCCAGTTATATCATGTCGTGTCAGCTTAATGTGGGGGGAAAGCCCAAAGTGATGCAGGTATCGGATGTTTACCACTTCGGTGAAACCCGCGACCACGGGTATGGTGCTGACAAACCTAGAAACATAATCGAGGCGATTGAAATTTAAGAACAAATGATTCAGGGTTGTGATTCATCTGCAAACAGGAAGAATATCCACTAATGAAAAAAAGCACTGCGTAACAATGCGAATCGTTGTGAACATGGTCCATTGTTCGACTTTCACAAATCTACATCTACAGCTGGGATTTACCTGGGTTGTTTACCATGGTGGTCCAGAGGACTCCAAGACTTTAATTGTGGGGGCCCAGGTAAAAAATGAAAACAGTTTAACCTGTTTAAGCAATATTCAAGCAATATCATTGCTTGACACACCAATGGGCTTCAAACATTATACCCATGTGGGAATCAAACACCTGGATTTCAGTGTGAGAGTGAATGCTTTAACTAGTAGGCTTAACTACACCGCCCCATTCTGATAGAGAACTGCCAGCTATCACAATAGCACATTATGATGGAATTTTTTATACCCCTATAAAGTTCCCACAGTAATAACTTTCAGCTAAGCCAACATTCATTCGAAAATTTGTTGTTATGAAGAAATGTAAAGAATTCATCTCCTTTTTCGTTATCTGATTTGGCCACGTTGAGGAGTGATTTGGAAGTGATTTTGTTTGTTTGTTTGTTTGTTTGTTTGTTTGTTGTGTAACGTCACACTCAGCAATATTCCAGCCATATGACGGCAGTTTGTAAATAATCAAGTCTGGACCAGACAATCCAGTGATTTACATCATGAGCATCGATCACGCATTTGGGATACTATTATACCGTAACATGCATCAACCAAGTCAGTGAGTCTGACCACGCCTCTAACGACAAGCATAGTCACCTTTGAAGGCAAGCATGGGTTGCTGAAGACCTACTCTACTCCGAATTGGAAGTGAACTAAACTTAAAAATATTTTAGTTATCTCTGGCAGTAGAAATGCCCCCTAAAAGAAACATTTGTCCACGCTTCCTTAACAATGCTACCCTAGTTACCTCCCTTCCCTCATCAACACACTCAAATGAATAGAAGTGAAAACTGTCAGCTGACTCAACAGGAAGATATGACCGTGTCGTCAGTCACTACTTTTCATCATTTTTACTTGTCTTTGGGCAAGTAGATGAGTGAGAATTTATTATTCTTAGGCTGTTACCAGGGTGCTGTTGTACAAAGCTATCTTAGTGCTAAGGTGATTGTAACTCCCATACTATAACATCGACCTACGACAGTCGTACCCCGAAGCTGTTTCGTACAACCAGGGCACCCAGGGATTCATCTAGACCTGCTCAGAGGGAGGCTTTTGGCCCTGAGTCTGCCGCAAATGACAGTAAAAATACCCAATTTAATTTTCAAATTTCCAAATACCTGATGTTTTTCCAATTTTGCGTGCCATGGGCACTTAGTTAGGAGTCATAGATAAATCCTTGGTGAGTGTATGTTGTGTGTGTTAGTCAGCACTATTGCTGCTGTGTCACAGCCATGTGACTACACACCTACAACTGTGAGTGGGAGGTGGCCCCCGCTCACTGAACCACAACAGACAGCAGACATCAGAAGTCAAGCTGTCTTCAGTACGAGATCCTGCAAATTCATATTTTTCCACCTGTCTCCTGATGTAATTTGCCGATAATCAAAGCAATAGTTTCACCCTAGGAATGAACACAATTCCACAAGAAGCTACCGATACAATCTTAGATGCAAGCTTCATTCATACGAGTGAAGTAATTTTTAAAGTCTTTAAGTTAATAAGCTTGTCAATTTACAGAGTTTAAGCCTAGTTTAAATGGTCGGTTGGTTGGTTTGTTGTTTAACGCCACACTCAGCAATATTCCAGCTATATGACGGCTGTCTGTAAATAATCGTGTCACTCCATGGAATTGGGCCCGTTGACATGTATCAAACAAGTCAGCGAGCCTGACCACCCGATCATGAGCATCGATCCATGGAATTGGGACCGATGACATGTATCAACCAAGTCAGCGAGCCTGACCACCCGATCCTGTTAGTCGCCTTTTACGGCAAGCATTAGTTTAAATGGACAAAAGTCTGAGTCTGTTTGAATGATCTTACTGATGATTAAGTGTTGCGATGCTGCTGCATCACACATCGAACTCAAAATGCAGAATTTGGTTTCTAAATGAATGAGTTAGACCTGTTAATGAGTCAGTTACTATTTCTTTGAGGCTTTTAAGAATATTCCATGGCAGGGGGGGGGGGGGAAATGGGCTTGGCATCACCAACATGTGAATTGACCTGAGTCCTTTCATGTGATGACCACGAGGCTACCCCACCATCCAGTAAGTAAGCATGGTTTTATGCCTCTTTTAGCAATATTCCAGCAATATCACTGCAGGGAACAACAGAAATGGGCTTCACACATTGTACCCATGTGGAGAATTAAACCCAGACCTTCAACACCTCAAGGCTACCCACTACCGAGACACCACACTGAATATATAAGCATGATAAGTATGGAATAGGGCACTAATTGGCTTGTAGTCAATGTGTCACCCAGGGCTTGCAGTCAATGTGTCACCCAGGGTTTGCAGTCAATGTGTCACCAAGGGCTTGCAGTCAATGTGTCACCAAGAGCTTGCAGGAAATGTGTCACCCAGGGCTTGCAGTCAATGTGTCACACAGGGCTTGCAGGAAATGCTTCACCCAGGGCTTGCAGTCAATGTGTCACCCTGGGCTTGCAGGAAATGCTTCGACCAGGGCTGGCAGGAAATGCTTCGATCAGGGCTTGCAGTCAATGCGTCGACCTGGGCTTGCAGTCAATGCGTCACCCAGGGCTTGCAGTCAATGTGTCACCCAGGGCTTGCAGTCAATGTGTCACCCAGGGCTTGCAGTCAATGTGTCACCAAGGGCTTGCAGTCAATGTGTCACCAAGAGCTTGCAGGAAATGTGTCACCCTGGGCTTGCAGTCAATGTGTCACACAGGGCTTGCAGGAAATGCTTCACCCAGGGCTTGCAGTCAATGTGTCACCCAGGGCTTGCAGGAAATGCTTCGACCAGGGCTGGCAGGAAATGCTTCGATCAGGGCTTGCAGTCAATGCGTCGACCTGGGCTTGCAGTCAATGCGTCACCCAGGGCTTGTAGTCAATGTGTCACCCAGGGCTTGCAGGAAATGTGTCATCCAGGGCTTGCAGTCAATGCGTCACCCAGGGATTGTAGTCAATGTGTCACCCAGGGCTTGCAGTTAATGTGTCACCCTGGGCTTGCAGTCAATGTGTCACCCAGGGCTTGCAGTCAATGTGTCACCCAGGGCTTGCAGGAAATGCTTTGACCAGGGCTGGCAGGAAATGCATCGACCAGGGCTTGCAGGAAATGCTTCAACCAGGGCTTGCAGTCAATGTGTCACCCAGGGCTTGTAGTCAGTGTGTCACCCAGGGCTTGCAGTCAATGTGTCACCCAGGGCTTGCAGGAAATGTGTCACCCAGGGCTTGCAGTCAATGTGTCACCCAGGGCTTGCAGTCAATGTGTCACCAAGGGCTTGCAGTCAATGTGTCACCAAGAGCTTGCAGGAAATGTGTCACCCAGGGCTTGCAGTCAATGTGTCACCCAGGGCTTGTAGTCAATGTGTCACCCAGGGCTTGCAGGAAATGTGTCATCCAGGGCTTGCAGTCAATGCGTCACCCAGGGATTGTAGTCAATGTGTCACCCAGGGCTTGCAGTTAATGTGTCACCCAGGGCTTGCAGGAAATGCTTCACCCAGGGCTTGCAGGAAATGCTTCGACCAGGGCTTGCAGGAAATGTTTCGATCAGGGCTTGCAGTGAATGCGTCGACCTGGGCTTGCAGTCTATGCGTCACCCAGGGCTTGCAGTCAATGTGTCACCCAGGGCTTGTAGTCAATGTGTCACCCAGGGCTTGCAGTTAATGTGTCACCCTGGGCTTGCAGTCAATGTGTCACCCAGGGCTTGCAGTCATTGCGTCACCCTGGGCTTGCAGGAAATGCTTTGACCAGGGCTGGCAGGAAATGCATCGACCAGGGCTTGCAGGAAATGCTTCAACCAGGGCTTGCAGTCAATGTGTCACCCAGGGCTTGCAGTCAATGTGTCACCCAGGGCTTGCAGGAAATGTGTCACCCAGGGCTTGCAGTCAATTTGTCACCCAGGGCTTGCAGTCAATGTGTCACCCAGGGCATGCAGTCAATGTGTCACCCAGGGATTGTAGTCAATGTGTCACCCAGGGCTTGCAGTCAATGTGTCACCCAGGGCTTGCAGTCAATGTGTCACCAAGGGCTTGCAGTCAATGTGTCACCAAGAGCTTGCAGGAAATGTGTCACCCAGGGCTTGCAGTCAATGTGTCACCCAGGGCTTGCAGGTAATGCTTCACCCAGGGCTTGCAGGAAATGCTTTGACCAGGGCTGGCAGGAAATGCTTCGACCAGGGCTTGCAGTCAATGCGTCGACCTGGGCTTGCAGGCAATGCGTCACCCAGGGCTTGCAGTCAATGTGTCACCCAGGGCTTGTAGTCAGTGTGTCACCCAGGGCTTGCAGTTAATGTGTCACCCTGGGCTTTCAGTCAATGTGTCACCAAGTGATTGTTGTAGTGTAACTATTGCAAACTGAATAAGCTAAAAGTCCAATATAATTGCCATGTTCCCACCACTAATGCAAAAGCATTGTAATAGTATGCAGAGTATAACTGACTTTAAATGATATGGCCGTAATTGAACAAACACAGATACTTAAAGGCTTAATTGTAATACCGTACAAATATTATTTCATCACTATTTCAATAGATGTGTTTTTTTGTGAACAAACAACACAGATACTTAAAAAAGGCTTAATTATAATACTGTACAATTATTTCATCAACTATTTTATTAGACGTTTTTTTTTGGTGAACAAAAAACAGATACTTAAAAAAGGCTTAATTGCAATACTGTACATTTATCATTTTTATTCTATTAGCTGAATAAAAATACACAAAAGTCAAGTATGACAATATCAATCTATGTCTAGCCTCTATTAGGATCAATATTCCTGTTTAGTCGGCATGTATCCTTGATAGCATTAATACAAGATCATGCTCGGCCTTGACACCGAGGTGTTTAGTGCAGGATATACAGCATGGCTGAACTCAGCTAGTCTGCCCCAGAAGCATCACCAGTATCTACAAGTAACCATGGAAACCTACCTCTTATCAAATACACTGGATACTGGAACACTTGATCATTTAATCCTTTCACATCCAGGTAGATGTTGGCTGTGAAGTGCCACTCCTCCATCTCGAAGAACTTCAGTATCACTTCATTGTGAGTGGCATTAAAATCCTGGAAAAATTCAAACCCACAGGTGAAGAAACACATCCCATCTTAGGCCTCAATAAATTAGTTCTTTCCATCAAATGGGCATGTTCAGTTAAGAGGCATTTTATTTTGTAGTTTTACGGTTTGTGAAAAGGCATCAGTGTTCATGAACTATTATCATACCTCCATGTCAGAATGATGAGATCTGATTGGTCAATGTGATCTTGATAAAATACTGTGTAACCCGCCTTAGTGGGTAATAAATGTCTGATAGGGGAAAGAAATCTCTTATACCCCGCCATGAGCAATACAGACTGCACAAGAACTTCTGAGACACAGAATAAATCCCTTACATCCAACTTCAATGGAAGTCACGTTACATAGCACAAGTTAACACCAGCTCAATTAAACAGCTGTTTTCTATCAATTTTGAATTTGTGTTGATTCTTTTACAATGTCAAATTAAAACATGTCAGTAAGATAACTTCGTTGTAGCAGGATCACTCAGGGTACATGGGATTTTATGCATCCCTCGTATATAGTTCAGAAAAAAGCAACAAAATGATTTGAGGCAGGGTGTTTGCTCGGGAGACAGATGGAACAACAACATTTTAAATGATTTTGGGCTTGTTGTTTGCTGTAGTCAACAATGGTACAGCGATACGACAGTGGTCTGAAAATATTTTAGTGGGGACCAGATAATCCATATAATGAACGATGCAGACCGATATTATGAACAACGATCCACGCTTTCGGAGTATGTTGACCCGCTACCCACCACGTCAAGCCTGAACAACAGATCCATTCCGTTGCCCCTTGCAACCAGCACATGCTGCTACAGGGACAAACTTTAACCCAGATTCCTCATTGGTTCCTACACAACATCACATATGGATGCAAGAGTCTCTTTCTTCTCCCTAATCTGACCTGAAACAAATACATACCTTTTGTACGACTTCTGTGAGAGATTTTGTCTGGTTGCCAGGATACAGCAGATGTCGGTTGCCAACATTAAACATGACTGACTTCACTGCAGGGATCTTGGACACAAAGCAAGTGAGGATCACTCGGCGGTCATTGGCACTGGCAGTCTTGTTGCTGCATGCAACCATTGGTTTGTCTGCAACATGGAAAATACATCACCTATAGATTTACGTCAGTTGATAGTTGACTTTCTAGATGTCTTCTTTTTGTTTGTGTTTTTGTTGTTTCTCAGCAATATTCAAACTATATAATGGCAATCTATTAAAAAACAAATCAAGTCTGGACCAGTGATGCAGCTCTCAGACGTTTACCACTTCGGTGAAACCCACAAGTATGGGTATGGTGCTGACAAGCCTAGAAACATAATCAGGGAGAACAGGGATTCGAACCCACAATCGTAGGTTTCTGCCGTGCCCCAGGGACACAACTCTGCACAACGAATAGGGCGCCTTAGACGACTGGGCCACCCGTGACCTTGTATTCATGAGGAACAGACGTTGGGTGAGGTGAAATGGGGTTTAATGTTGTGTTCAAGATTATTTCACTTAGATAGTGATGTGCATGTGTGTGTGGGGCTGCTTGTACTAGTTCGGAAAAATGCTGATTTTTTAATGCTTCTCCACTGGGAGATGATCCTACATACAAATCAAGCATCACCTTACCCGTCATAATGCTAGTTATCTCCCTTTGACTAATAATTTCATTCGAACATAAAAGGGGGTTTAGCCTAGTGGATGAGGTTGTCAAAGAATTCCAAGGAGATCTGTTTTTAGTAGCTGATGATGATAATGATAAAGCTCAAGCTGTCTCCAGATGTCCAGGAAATGAGGCAGATGGAGACAAAGAGCATTTCCAAAGCTCCAGATAACTTTTTGAGCAATTGAGCTTTTGAATACACAATGCCATTTAGAAAGTGGTCAAATGTAACAAATGTTATATTTGGGATAACACTTTCTGAGTAAAGTACAGATTCTCGTGCTCTTTGGGGTTGAGTCCTGTCTGGGATTCAAACTGACACTTACTAGAGAAAGGCACCTAATCGCCTGCACACAAAGTCAGCGATCTAACCCACTCAGCCACCGAGGCTTCCACAATAATGAAAGTCCGAAAACTGGTAGTCTAGATCACGTACTTTGAGTACCCCTCTGACAAGTGTAAATTGGCACGGCTCCCATGGCCGAAAGCTATGAATACACAATGCCATTTAGAAAGTGGTCAAATGTAACAAATGTTATATTTGGGATAACACTTTCTTAGTAAAGTACAGCCTCACTCCGGCAAGTGTGGGTTTGATTCCCAGACGGGACTCAACCCAAAAAAGTACGAGAATCTGTACTTTACTAAGAAAGTGTTATCCCAAATATAACATTTGTTACAATTGAGCTTTTACTCGAAGGTTTCTATTTTAATTGGGTTATTACATTTTTCATTGGGTAACCAATATTTTTACACTCATCTATTCATCACTGTTGGGTTCTCCCCAAAATGATTAAAAGATAATGAAATAATGTTTTAGATGAATATAACTGTTCTAAATATATGCTTGACTCGTAAATTAAATTAGCTCAACATTGTGTTTCAGACAATGTCGGAAATTAGCTCTGTTGTACGCATGCTAAAAAAGAGTATTTGGGAATTTACGCATGCTGTTTTTATACATTTGAGTATTTCATAGAATGCATGTTCCCATGTTAATTGAAATTAATCGGGTTTTGAATAGTTTTGTAGGGTATTTTACACAAATAAGCAGCTTATCAGTAGCTCTGCTTCACACGCTCCATGCTGCCTTTACATTGGTCAAAAACAGACATGTTGATGTTCTTGCTGATGATAATGATGCACGTGGATGATTGACAAGACGATGTCTTTTTAAAAAATGACATTGTATCAACAAATGCTTTGAAGACTGGCATTAATGATATGTTTTTTTATATGTTAAAAACATAAGCACTGCAGTAATCTACGGTTATAACAAACTACAACATGTACAAGGGCCCACTAATTTAGTTCATTATAATCGTAGTCTGTTATAAGGTAAAGGCATATACTGCATATGTATAGCAAATGGTCGGGACAAAAAAATAAGATTGTTATATCCGTCACTTTGTTATAAGCGTGTTCGTTATTAACATAGTTTACTGTAGTTAAAATTATCAAGGAGCGGTAAACATGGTAAAAGGCATATCCAAGTCCTTGTTGCTGGTTTCTCCAGCTGACAGGTATCACACATGCATGACTCACTCACCTACAATCCCTTCAAGGGTGACGGTGACCGTCTGGTCTCCGCTTTCCATGGTCACGCCCTCCGGAAGGTCCGGTTCAGCATGGCACTTGAGTACCTTATTGAACAGTCTGTGATCAAAGTCCAGCTCATAGATGACCGCGGCCTTGTATGACCGTCTTTCTGTGTTTCCGTCCTTGTCCAAGATGACGGTGACATCGCCCGTGTTAAGATGCTGGTCACCTGCCATTAAATGAATGACTGGTGCTGGGTTGGAACCCATTGCCTCACATGTCACTGACAGTGTTTTAGACTTCGATGATACGGTTACTCCATCAGCTTTTTCCTCCCCATCAACTGTCAGCTCGATGCCACTCACGGGAGCTGAGGAGACAAGCACAGATACATGAGCTGACATGTCATTGCTGGACATGAAACACAAACATGCAGGGCCCTGTCCCACAAAGTGATCTAAGCGCTGTGGTGATTGTAAGCCTTCGTTAAAGTGGAAGATCGCTTTGTGGAACGGGGCCCAGGGATTTATCTTGGACTCAATATTAAGTGCCCTTGGAAACCAAATTGGGAAAATATACTTACTTTGCCCAATATTGGGATTGTTTTAAAGTCCTTCTCTTCTTAATTTCACAGTAATTAATACAATATTTTATCAAATACAATAACGCCACTCCTTTCTATTGGTCCTGTTGACAGGGAAATACAGGGCACGTCTACCAAGCCATAATATGACCTATGACTATATCAATTTGATTAAAATGGATAGGGAAAATATTAATTCCAATTTTGGTATTTTTACTGAAATTTGCATCAAATTTGGCCCGAATTTCAGTCTCTGAGAAGGTCCAGATAAATCCCAGACCATGCCTAAATAACTAAGTCGCATATTCAGGAATTTGTCAAATCCAGACCCTACAGAAACCTGATCAGTCAGTAGAGGAACAGATTTTTGGTACTGTGGGGCAAACTTATCCTGTAGAATCTGCTTAATGCATACTTCCTTCACTTGACATCATGCCACAAAGGACCAATTTTTATGCAGTTGACACCACAGGGACAATGCCCAAAAAGAGTTGTTTTTCTCAAATTACAAAAGTCACATGGTTTAAGAATATATTCTTTAGTGACATAAACACAATAAAAGTAACATTTCCTACATCGATCATGTAGATAAATCCCTGCTAGTATGTTAATAGTATGTTAATACAAACAGGTATTTATCCCCATGATCTTGGCTTCCAAACTAAGAGCCCTTGGCAGGCAAATTGGGATATAATTGTTACTGTTACAAATTATTATTTGTCTAAAGTTCTTATATACTTAATTTCAGATTCAGCATTAATGCATCATTATCCTTAATGGTCCTCTGATCAGTACAATACAAGTCACCTCAATCAAGCCATCACATCGCCATGGTCATAACTTTATCAACACAAATTATTGAGTTGGGTTTAACGCCGCTTTTAAGATTATTCCAGTTATATCAAGGTGTGTCAGCTTAATGTGGGAGGAAAGCCCGAAGTGATGCAGGGTTTCAGACGTTAACCACTTTGGTGAAACCCACGAGCACGGGTATGGTGCTGACAAACCTAGAAACATAATTGGTGCGAACCGGGATTGGAACCCACAATCATATGTTTCTGGCGTGCCCAAGGGACGCAACTCGGCACAGCGAATCGCGGTGCCTTAGACAACTGGGCCACCCGTGCCCCCTACACAAATTAGGAAATTTAGGAAACTTTTGCTGCAGAATATCGCCCTCTGAGCAGGTACAGGGAAGTCCTTTAAGGGCTTTACTAGTCATTTGAAATATAACATCGTTTCTTTATCTTCAACAAAAACATGCTTTGCACAACTAAAACATCAAGTTACTTGGTTGAAAACTCCTTATGCTATCCCAGGCTCACTTACCGAGGAAAACCACCGTCTTGGTTGCTGACTCTAGAGCATCACTGGTCTCTGTCTTCTGTGTGCGACATGTGTATTCCCCGTCAGCAGCAGCAGTAGCTGGAAACAATTCAATCACACAATTTTACAAGATCTCAAAATCCGGTATTAAACAGACTTTGACAAAGACTTGTGACTTTTTACTGGCCTGAACATGGTTCTTCTTCTTATTTTCAGAAGATTTAATGTTCATATATGGACTATTATTAGCTGACCTTACTAGGGCTTCCGACTAGAGGCCAAAGAACGGTTCACTATATCCTTGGTAGCTGACTTCCTACCGATTTTCTTACATAAAGCAAAAACACAAGGTTCAAAATAATGTTCATAGTAAGCAGGAAAATGGTCCACTGAGCTGAATGAGTAAGTGAGAGAGTATGGTTCTTACCCCTTTAGCAATATCATTGTTGGAGACACCAGAAATGGGTTTCACACATTGTACCCATCTGGGGAACCGAAACCTGGGTCTTTGTCATGAAGATCGAACACTTTAACCACAAGCTGAATACACTGAGCTGAATATACGACCATGGGATGTTTGTTTGTTGTTTAACTCCGCACTTAGCACTATTCCAGCTATATGATGGTGCACCATAAATGTTCGATCTGGACCAGAAAATCCAGTGTTCAATATCATGGGTATTGATTTACGCAATTGGGATATAACGACATGCATCAACCAAATCAACTTGCCTAACCACCAAATCCCATTAGTTGCCTCTTACGGCAAGCATGGGTTGCTGAAGACCTATTCTAACCCAGATCTTCATGGGTGTGATATTATATATAAATATTTGTACTCAAAACCGAATATAAAAGTGTGTACACAAACATTCAGCTCATAATCAGGGACAAATGTAACATTTTTTTCATTGTGAAGTCAAAAGTAAAAACAATTATTTTCTACAATTTGATCTATCTTGTGACCATGGTAACAGTCACCAGACTCCATCTTCCCGAGGCAAGGGAGTTAACTGACTTTAAAAGTCCAGTTTCCACCCTTGCCGAACTAGGCTGGATGTACTGGGCTCGATCGTTGCGCCACCAGTGGCTATTACCAATTATGTCCCTTCTAAGCCTCTCCTATGGACCAATCAGATTCCACCTCTCGTATCACTTACGTTTGCTTCACACAAAATGGTGGCGCTCAGTCAGGACAATCTGCTCGATAATAAAGATCTATATTGTGATAAAATGGGTCTTACATGGCGAAATGCATCAAATCACGTGAGCACCTTGATTAAAAACATGAAAAGATTTGGAAAATATCTGCTGACAACGAGTTGGCGGTGCACATGCTTTGCAAATCCTGCAATCGATCAAAACCTGCACGACAGTTTACGAACCGGATTTTGATTTCGATGCGCGATTTTGATCGGACTATGCATAGACTCTTGTTTGTCCAGACAAAATGTAACTCCATAATACCAGCCTAGTTCGGCAAGGGTGGAAACTGGACTTTTATAGTCAGTTTACTCTCTTGCCTCGGGAAGATGCCAGACTCAAGTATTGGTACTCAGTATGGGTCTGAAAAACGTGATGTCAAATCGAACAGTATGATGTCATGATATCCGACTTACAAGACGGACACTGGCTCATAACTATGATGGGTATTGGCCCGACTTTCATAGTGCAATTTATTGCAATAATGATTTGTAGATTGCGATACGTATTACAATATACTGAACATGCTGAATGAGTTCTTCCATCTGCAATTTGTTACAAACCTGAATATATAAGAATCTACACAACTGCCTCCCCACTCACAATTTTTCACAACTTTGTCGGTGGCTGCCGTTATGATGGGATGTTGCTATGGTCACAATGTACGCGTAATACACATATTAGACAGGAACCTGTTCACAAATGGTTTCAATTTGTTGTCGCACGAATAAGTTGCTAATTTCTGCATTTCATAATCACAATTCGCCGTGTCACTTTTGTAAAGTTTGTCAACAAGATGAAGATATCCACAACTTGAATACGCATTTCACAGGTATTTTCCAAACACAATGGCATACATATTCTGTAGTATTTATATTGTGCAATATCAGTAATACCTTATAGATTCTTTTTGGAGTAAAGTTAAGTTCTTGCCATGAATACTCTGTACAGTCGCTGTACTTACCTGACTTTATTTTGAGGGTGACACGAACAATGGGTATGATTTCAAGCTTGATCATATAATTATCTGCTGGGGTAACAAGAATACTCATTTGCTCTGAAATGATCGTCTCGGTTTCGGTTACCAGGTTCTTGTGGACAATAGCCAGCTGTTTTGATGCCATAAACTCCACGTCTGCATCTGTCGTGCAGGACAAGTTAATCTCATCTCCTTCTTTGACGTAATCGGGTCCAGTGACGTCAAACCTTGGGTTATCTTGTGCATGGCTGATGCCTGGAACAGACACAAGAATGCATTACCATGGTTACAACAGTAAAACCTTGAACTTGTTCATGTGATGGAGTGAGTGACTGGATTAACGCCGCTTTTAGCAATATTCCAGCAATATCATGGCTAGGGACACCAGAAATGGGCTTCACTAAATGAACCCATGTGGGGAATCAACCCAAGCCTTCGACGTGATGAGAGAACGCTTAACCACAATGCAACAGTGGTGTAACGACTCAATATTGCATCCCGGTCAAAAGCCCATGATACAATACAGGGATTAAAAACGAATGTACTGTGATACATTACAAATCATATTGGTGTAAAATACATGGCTAATAACAGAAACTGTTAAACACCAGTGTGTGCAGATTCTCTGGTATTTCCCGGCTGGCAATAAATAGCATAACATTCACTGTGCCTTTATGTTTCGGGATTACAATATCCTATCTTCAATCTCTGAAATTTAAGAGTGAGTGAGTGAGTGGGTTGCGTTTAACAGTATTCCAGTTATATCATGTCGTGTCAGCTTAATGTGGGGGGAAAGCCCAAAGTGATGCAGGTATCGGATTTTTACCACTTCGGTGAAACCCGCGAGCACGGGTATGGTGCTGACAAACCTAGAAACATAATCGAGGCGATTGAAATTTAAGAACAAATGATTCAGGGTTGTGATTCATCTGCAAACAGGAAGAATATCCACTAATGAAAAAAAGTAACAATGCGAATCGTTGTGAACATGGTCCATTGTTCGACTTTCACAAATCTACATCTACAACTGGGATTTACCTGGGTTGTTTACCATGGTGGTCCAGAGGACTCCAAGACTTTAATTGTGGGGGCCCAGGTAAAAAATGAAAACAGTTTAACATGTTTAAGCAATATTTAAGCAATATCATTGCTTGACACACCAATGGGCTTCAAACATTATACCCATGTGGGAATCAAACACCTGGATTTCAGTGTGAGAGTGAATGCTTTAACTAGTAGGCTTAACTACACCGCCCCATTCTGATAGAGAACTGCCAGCTATCACAATAGCACATTATGATGGAATTTTTTATACCCCTATAAAGTTCCCACAGTATTAACTTTCAGCTAAGCCAACATTCATTCGAAAATTTGTTGTTATGAAGAAATGTAAAGAATTCATCTCCTTTTTCGTTATCTGATTTGGCCACGTTGAGGAGTGATTTGGAAGTGATTTTGTTTGTTTGTTTGTTTGTTGTGTAACGTCACACTCAGCAATATTCCAGCCATATGACGGCAGTTTGTAAATAATCAAGTCTGGACCAGACAATCCAGTGATTCACATCATGAGCATCGATCACGCAATTGGGATACTATTATACAGTAACATGCATCAACCAAGTCAGTGAGTCTAACCACGCCTCTAACGACAAGCATAGTCACCTTTGAAGGCAAGCATGGGTTGCTGAAGACCTACTCTACCCCGAATTGGAAGTGAACTAAACTAAAAAAATATTTTAGTTATCTCTGGCAGTAGAAGTGCCCCCCAAAAGAAACATTTGTCCACGCTTCCTTAACAATGCTACCCTAGTTACCTCCCTTCCCTCATCAACACACTCAAATGAATAGAAGTGAAAACTGTCAGCTGACTCAACAGGAAGATATGACCGTGTCGTCAGTCACTACTTTTCATCATTTTTACTTGTGTTTGGGCAAGTAGATGAGTGAGAATTTATTATTCTTAGGCTGTTACCAGGGTGCTGTTGTACAAAGCTATCTTAGTGCTAAGGTGATTGTAACTCCCATACTTTAACATCGACCTACGACAGTCGTACCCCGAAGCTGTTTCGTACAACCAGGGCACCCAGGGATTCACCTAGACCTGCTCAGAGGGAGGCTTTTGGCCCTGAGTCTGTCACAAATGACAGTAAACATACCCAATTTAATTTTAAAATTTCCAAATACCTGATGTTTTTCCAATTTTGCGTGCCATGGGCACTTAGTTTGGAGTCCTAGATAAATCCTTGGTGAGTGTATGTTGTGTGTGTTAGTCAGCACTATTGCTGCTGTGTCACAGCCATGTGACTACACACCTACAACTGTGAGTGGGAGGTGGCCCCCGCTCACTGAAGCACAACAGACAGCAGTCATTGCTGTGTGCAGTCGAACAGAAAGCTGACAGAGACTTGGGCTGACAGCCAAACTACACGACAATACTCACATAGGACACATTTGACACACTAAACAGGATCGAAAACTGGACTGTCAAAATCACGTAATATGAGGATTGACTGACTGACTGAGAATGGTTTTACGCTGCTTTTAGCAATATTCCAGCAATATCACGGCGGGGGACACCAGAAATGGGCTTCACACATTGTACCCATGTCGTTAATCGAACCCAGGTCTTTGATGTGACGAGCGAACGCTTTAACCACTAGGCTACCCGACCGCCCCAATATGAGGATTGCCATGTATCTGCACCATTCAGAGATTTGAAAACATCCTTCAGATTATTTGATTATCAATTACAGTCCCATCCATGACACCTTTACAAACAACAATTTCAGTACTGAATCCAAGCATATTTGCATTGGGGAATGAATTCCCTTTCATAGCGGTGTGGTTTATTCAAGTGTTCACGGTATTACAAATAGGATAGAATTCGTGTAATGGGATACAAATTGCCATAAATATTCTCCAGGGGTTTCAGATGAATGTTTACTGCACAATCAGTGAAGCCAGCTAGATTATCACCACGTGATAGTACCATCTCTGGTTAAACTGACATCAGATGTCAAGCTGTCTTCAGTACGAGATCCTGCAAATTTTAATTTTTCCAACTGTCTCCTGATGTAACTTGCCGATAATCAAAGCAATAGTTTCACCCTAGGAATGAACACAATTCCACAAGAAGCTACCGATACAATCTTAGATGCAAGCTTCATTCATACGAGTGAAGTAATTTTTAAAGTCTTTAAGTTAATAAGCTTGTCAATTTACAGAGTTTAAGCCTAGTTTAAATGGTCGGTTGGTTGGTTTGTTGTTTAACGCCACACTCAGCAATATTCCAGCTATATGACGGCTGTCTGTAAATAATCGTGTCACTCCATGGAATTGGGCCCGTTGACATGTATCAAACAAGTCAGCGAGCCTGACCACCCGATCATGAGCATCGATCCATGGAATTGGGACCGATGACATGTATCAACCAAGTCAGCGAGCCTGACCACCCGATCCTGTCAGTCGCCTTTTACGGCAAGCATTAGTTTAAATGGACAAAAGTCTGAGTCTGTTTGAATGATCTTACTGATGATTAAGTGTTGCGATGCTGCTGCATCACACATCGAACTCAAAATGCAGAATTTGGTTTCTAAATGAATGACTTAGACCTGTTAATGAGTCAGTTACTATTTCTTTGAGGCTTTTAACAATATTCCATGGCAGGGCGGGGGGGGGGGGGGGGGGGGGGGGGGGGGGGGGGGAATGGGCTTGGCATCACCAACATGTGAATTGACCCGAGTCCTTTCATGTGATGACCACGAGGCTACCCCACCATCCAGTAAGTAAGCATGGTTTTATGCCTCTTTTAGCAATATTCCAGCAATATCACTGCAGGGAACAACAGAAATGGGCTTCACACATTGTACCCATGTGGAGAATCAAACCCAGACCTTCAACACCACAAGGCTACCCACTACCCAGACACCACACTGAATATATAAGCATGGTAAGTATGGAATAGGGCACTAATTGTAACCGTGGCATGATGGGAGTGAGTTTGGTTTTACGCTGCTTTTAGCAATATTCCAGCAACATCATGGTGGGGGACACCACAATTGGGCTTGAATGTCGGGAATCGAACCCGGGTCTTCGGCGTGATGAGTGAACACCTTAACCACTATGCTACCTGACCATCCTCTGGCATGATGGGCACCAGCTTTGTTCAAAGGCCGATACAGGTTTGTTGTACAGAAAAGGCCCAAGAGCATGCAATGATCAGTGCTTTAGATTGCTTTTAACATGATCAAGTGTGACAGAGCATGCAGTGTGACAGAGCATATGGATGTGCAGCTGTGCCCTCTGGGACTCAAATGTGCCAACCAGAATGCATTTCAATGAAAAAAGTAATAGCTTATTTGAATTTCTGTATATTATGCATGTTTCTGTTTGTCCAGTATATTTGTGCAGAAGTAACTTAAGCATGGGCATCACATGACAAAAAGCATCACAAGGTGTTTTTATTACACAGAATAAGATTCCGAATGGTGTCATTAAGGCGACAGTACATTTTTAAATCCGCCCTTAAGAACTTACCCTTTCATTTGCACATTAATACAAGCCAGTTAGTGAGTATGGTTTAATGTCACTTTTAACAATATTTCAGCAATACTGTGGCAGGAGACACCAGAAAAGGGCTTCACATTGTGGCCATGTGGGGAATTAAACCTGGTTCTTCAGGGTGACAAGTGAACACTTTAACCACGAGGCAACCACACTGCCACAGTAATAGAAGGAATTTCGAACCCTTGTATTTGTTTGTTTGTTTGTTTGTTGTTTAACGCCGCACTCAGCAATATTCCAGCTATATGACGGCGGTTTGTAAATAATCGAGTCTGGAAGAGACAATCCAGTGATTAATATCATGAGCATCGATCCACACAATTGGGATCGACGACATGCATCAACCAAGTCAGCGAGCCTGACCACCCGATGCCGTTAGTCGCCTTTTACGAATTGCAGAGTCACTTTTTATGGCAAGCATGGGTTGCTGAAGACCTACTCTACCCCGGAATCTTCACGGGTCTCGAACCCTTGTAACAAGTAAGGAGACATTAGCATGATATCTCTGGAAACTAACTGTATGAACAAGTTACTTATGACTTTCTACTGTAACGGCAGGGCTCGATTCAGCTACTGTTATCTAAAGCGTTAGTATATTAGCATATAAAGTTATGATTATTGTAATATGCTACCTTATGTTTAAGTCTACAAGCTTTCGTTTGTTTGATGTTTAACGCCACACTCAGAAATAT